CCGTGGGCCCCCTGCTTTGGGGCAGAGGCCCTTTCCCCTTGTGGGCCCCGCAGACCTGGCACCAGCTGGTCTGGGAAGCAGCACAGGCTGCAGGTAGAAGACTTGTCCATGAGTGGTTGTTGGGCAGCTGCCGGGCTCATTGCCTGGGCCGCAGTGTGCCTGGGACATGGGATTGTGGCTTTTCTTCTGCGAGGAGGTGGCACAGAGCTGAGCAGGCTCCTCACACAGATGGGTAGGGTGTTGAGTGGTCCCTGCCCTGGACTCGAGGACTTGGTTCTCGCCCAAATTGGGATCACCCTTGTCCTCAGTAGGGAGGGACATATCCTGAACTGTCTCCAAAAGGGGGCTAGGACAGAAATGTGTGTGTGTGTGTGTGTGTGTGTGTGTGTGTGTGCATATGTATGCATGTATATGTAAGACTAGGAGATACTTGGTTGTCCAAGCCTTCCTGTGACCTGTCATGTCCAGGAACAAACCCTAGTCTTAGCACCTAAGAGTAAGTAGAGCTGGATACCTGGAGGTTCCACACAGGGGTGGGGGACTCTAGACGGAAATGTTCTTTCCCAAACCCCACAAGACCCCATGTCACCCCGGTGGCGCATGCTACATGAAGACACAGGGATGGTCCAAGAGAAAAGGGTTATGAGGTTGTCCCTTCCAGCTGCTAGCCGTGGCTATGCCTAAAACCCCAGCACTCAGGGGCCATTATTCAACTGTGGTCAACTTCAAAGGCAGAGTGTTCCCTGCACAGATCAACAAAGGAATTCGCTCATCACCAGAGAAGATAGGCCAGAAAGAAGCCAGCCTGGGGGTTGGTGGGGAGACTCAGCGTGTGGAAGGAAGAGCTGAGAGTGGAGGAGGGGCCTGGAAGAGCCCAGGGGAAGGGTCCTGACTGTGACCTTAGGGTGTATCCTCTTTGCTGTCCCTAGTCTAGAAGGATCAGAGCCCAGGGGTCAGCTGGCGATGCTGCAGGTGCCAGGGGGTCCATGCTGTCAGCCACAAAAGCAGATACAAATGGAGGCAAGACGAGCAGAAGCAGCTGGCTGAGGTGAGGAGGAACAGGGCCAACTGTGCCAAGCTGAGCTGTGGCAAAGGCCCAGTTAAATTCTATAGCATGGTCCGCTGCTGTGGTCTAGTGGCTGAAGTCCTAGCCTTAAGCATGCCAGGATCCCATTTGGGCACCAGTTCTAATCCTGGCAGCTCCACTTCCCATCCAGCTCCCTGTGTCTAGTCTGGGAAAGCAATTGAGGACGGGCCAAAGCCTTGGAAGCCTGCACCTGCATTGGAGACCCAGAAGAGCTCCTGGCTCCTGGCTTCGGATCAGCTCAGCTCCAGCCATTGCGGTCACTTGGGGAATGAATCATCAGATGAAGATCTTCCTCTCTGTCTCTCCTCATCTTATTATATATCTGATCTTGCAATAAAATAAATGAATAAATCTTTAAATCCTACGGCAGAAAAAAAAACCTAGTTGGTGTGATTGGTCAGCTTTGATTACTGCGGTGGGGCCTGAGGGTCCCAGCAAGAAAGAGTTCAATTGGTTAGGGGGACAGTGTGCATATTTCCCTAGAATGGGGACATTTCCCTGGAGCTGACAGCCAGAAATGGTGGATGAACTCTCGCTGCTGTCAAAGGGAGGTTCCCTCCAACTTATCAGCAGTGCAACTCATAGCACAGAGGGACAGGGAACACCAAGAATGTGCAGAAGTTGCTTACATCTGCACACTGAAAGCCTGGGCTCAGCTATTCCCCTAGCCTTCTCTCCAGAGAATCATCTTGTCCGAGACCCTGCTCCCAGGGCTTACAAGGAGCCACCAACACTGCCACCTGACCCTCAGCATTAACATACAGACTGCCGTTTGTCCAGCAGCAACCACTTATTTATTGATTGATGTTTATTTGAAAGATGAGTTGGAAGAGGAGGCAGAGCTCTTCCATCTGTTAGTTCACTCCCTAAATGTCCACAACAGCTGGGGCTGGGCCAGGCTGAAGCCAGTTGCCAAAAATTTCCCCCCAGTCTTCCATGTGGGAGTCAGGGATATTGTGCTGGCATCCCATGTGAATGCTAGTTCGAGTCCCTGCTCTTCCACTTGTGATCCAGTTTCCTATTTTGTGCCTGGGAAAGCATCAAAAGATGGCCTAAGTGCTTGTGCCCCTGTCATCCACATGAGAGACTGGAAGGGAATTCCGGGCTCCTGGCTTTGGCCTGGCCCAGTCCTGGCTGTTGTGACCATTTGGTTAGTAAACCCGCAGATGGAACATCTCTCTCTCTCTCTCTCTCTCTCATTCCCTCTCTGTCTGTGACACTGCCTTTCAAATAAATAAATCTTTTTAGAAAAAAAAAAGTGCTTCCGCCCAGTGAGGCTGTCACTGGGGACAAGGTTCTTCCAGGTTTCCGAGTCTGATTGTGAAGGCTGGAGGTCTGCTGTCCATAGCAATGCGATCGGGAGGATCTGAGTGCAGGCAGTAGTGCCTGTGGGAGGACAAAGGGTGCTGCCGTGGATAGGTAAGCAGCTGTCAGTGACCTTGCCACAAGCTTTCTGTGCACCTTCTGCTCCACTCTCACCACTGCCAAGTGTCAGGATTGACCTTTTATAGATGAAAAACTGAAGCTCAGAGAGGCTGTGTGACTTCTAAAAGCAAACCAGATCTGCCAAGGCTCTAGATCTGACTTTAGCATCTGGGTTTCTAACTACCATACAGTTTTTTTTATTATTATTATTAGTAGTAGCAGTAGTAGTAGTAAGATTTATTTATTTTCAGGGTCCGGCACTGTGGCCCAGGGGCTTAAGTCCTCACCTTGAAAGCACTGGGATCTCATATAGGCGCTGGTTCTAATCCCGGCAACCCCACTTCCCACCCAGGTGTCTGCTTGTGGCCTGGGAAAGCAGTCAAGGACAGCCCAAAGCCTTGGGACCCTGAACCTGTGTGGAAGACCTGGAAGAAACTCCTGACTTCTGGCTTCGGGTTGGCATAGCACCGGCCGTTGTGCTCACTTGGGGGAGTGAATCATCGGAAGGAAGCTCTTCTCTGTCTCTCCTCCTCTCTGAATATCTGACTTTGCAGATGCACAGATAGAATGAGACAAAAAGATTTTTTCCCATCTGCTGGCTTATTTCCCAAATGCCTGCAATGGCTGGAATTGAGCCGATCCAAAGCCAGGGGCCAGGAACTGGGAGCTTTTTCTGGGTCTCCCATGAAAATACAGGTTCTCACAGCATTGGGCCATCCTCCACTGCTTTGCCTTGCCATAGGCAGGGAGCTGGGAGGGAAGTGGAGCAGCAGGGACATGGATTGGCCCCCAATGGCATGACAGTGTTTGCAGGTAGAGGATCAGGCAGTTTAGCCATTATGCTGGTCCTAAAAATGTTACAAACTAACAGTTTGCCCCTTGAGGTACCATTTTTAAATTAAGCAACAGCTTTCTATAGCTGAAGAGATTTTGGGGAAGGTGAGAGAGGGATGGTAGGAGAAAGAAGGGCAGGGGTGGGGAGAATGAGTAGGGAACCTGTTAGTAGCCTCTGGTGAGGGAATTTAACAGAGTGGCAGCTGGAAGCCAGATGATCTTATCAGAACATGTAGATGGTTTCAGACCCAATGATGCAGCTTAGAAATGGACTTGACCTTAGCCAGAAGGCTAAGAGGTGATAGAAATGGAGCTCTAACATTAACAGTCTTTTTCAAGCATACTTTCATTTTTGGCAACACATAACTAACTTTATGCCATTTTGATTGTTTCCTCAAATAGCTTTTTTGTGGCAAGTTTCAAGGCCCAACCATATTTTTAATGTGATCTCACCTTGGCAGGCACCGACGCTCAGAGGAAAGTCCCAAGGGCCTAGCTGGGCCTCAGGAAACTGAGGTTCTAGCCCCAAATTTGTCCTGGGCCTGCAGAAACCCACATCCCATTCAAGCAAGGAATCTGTGGCTGAGGCTCCAAGGAATGGACAGTCTGTGTTTTTGCCAGGCCTCAGCCTCAGGGTCAGCCATGTCTGTGATCACTGCTCCAAGTCTTTGCCCAGAGTCGGGGGCAAGGACAGGCTCAATCCTGAGGGGCGCTTCTAAAGGCAAGGTGGCTGGTAATGGAAGACAACCTGGTCCTAACCTCCCCATCCCTGGAAATGGAGAATCTTAGATTGTCAGAGCAGAGGGGAGTCCAGACAGGCAGTTTCCCGAGGGAGACACGCTGGCCATGAGCTTATGACATTGTACAGAGTCCCCAGGGAACTTCCTCCTTAACAAGGATTCCCAAGGGTGCCGCCAAACTGTGCTTTCAACAGCAGAGCAGCCACACACTGGAGCTGGTATGGACAGTAGCCAGGTCTGGAAAATTCTTGACATTTTACAATTATTATTTTTTTAAATTTTATTATCCTATTTTATGCAGTTGAAAGATTTTCCATCTTCCCACTCACTCTGTAAATACCCATGACAGTTGGGACTAGGCAAGGCTGAAGCCAGGGACCAGGAACTCAATCCAGGTCTCCCACGTAGGTGGTAGGGGCCTACCACTGTCCCCTAGAGTGCACAGTAATAGGAAATTGGAAGCCAAAACTTGAATTCAAGTTCACTGATATGGGATGTGGGCATGTGCTTTCTGTTTGCTTGTTTTATTTACTTTCATTTGAAAGGTAGAGCAGAGAGGAAGAGAGATTTTCCATCTATTGATTTACTCCTCAAATGCCTGCCACAGCTAGTGCTGGGTCAGAGCCAGGAACCCCATCTAGGTCCCCCACATGGGAAGCAGGGACCCGAGCACTTGAGCCATCACCTGCTTGCTGCCTCCCAGGGTGCACTTTACAGGAAACTGGATTGGAGATACAGGCAGCATCCTAAGTAGCAGCTTAGCCCTGGAGCCACAGTGCTCATCCCAGGTAGTGGTCATCTTAACGTCTCCCCTGAAGAGAACCTGTGACCTCATCAAGTCTCCCCATATTTTTTCTGGAAGGACTGAAGCCCACAGAGGCCTGGAGCTAGACATCAACAGAATCCAAACCAGGCGCCAGGCCTCCACAGTGAACGTGAGCTTTCCACAGCAGGACTCGGGAGAGCATCTTGTCATTTATTTGTTTTCATTTCCTGAAGATCAAGGTTACTGCCTCACACAGCTGAAGGGGACAGATGCAGGTGCTTTTGACAAGGCTTGTGGAGAAGATGGTGGTTCACAGCTGGGCCCCGCTCTCTCAGTTGGTTTTGTGTTGTCAGTTGCTTTGTTAGTCCAGCTTGACTTGGATAACTCAGTTGGGTTAGCCTCATTACAGGGGCCTCAGCAGTTCCAGGCAAGCAGGTTGGCGCAGTCACGGGGCACAAGCCACCAGCTCCTCTAGAGCTTGCTCCCGATGGTTGCCGTGGACCAGCAGCACCTCCTTTATGCGGTCATGCTGGAAGCCCATGTCGCTGAACTGCTCCCAAAGGCGCAGGAACTCCCCCGCCTGGAGAACAGGAAGCAGCAAGGGCACTAGGGGCTCTGCCCAGGCCCACCATGCCTCCTCCACCCCAGGCCAGGTGAACTTGGTCCTGGGCACTGGTACCTCTGGGGGGGTCTCCCCTTTCCTCCCTCTACTGGTTCCCCTCCCATCATCACTGCTCCTCCATATCCTCCTCCATTTCACTCCTCCTCTGCCCCCCATCCCATCCCACACCTGCTCCTCCTCTCCAGGCCCGCTCCTCCCTGGAGCCCAGGGTCCCTGCTGACCTGGCTCTCTGAGAACTGGAACATCTCCATGGCCTCCTCCACCAGGCCCTCCTCGTAGCCCTGGCGCAGCAGCCGGTCACAGGCGCTGAGGTAGCTGAGAAACTAGGACAGAAGTGAGCAGACAGGGCAAGGTGATGGTAAGAGGGGTGCCAGGGGCAACAGACAATGTGGGTGTGGCAGGTACCCAAGGGCCTTACTGAGGCCTGAGCTCAGGGACAAGTGGCCGGAACAACCTCTGATTAAATTGGTGTGGCACTGAGGGCCAACCAGGAGGAACAGAGACCTCCTCTGAAGACCTGAGGGCAGGTGGACAGTAGGTCCAGTTATCCCAGGCAGAGACTGGAGGCCTGGAGTAGGGCTGTGAGTCCCCATCAAAGTGTATGCAAAACCCAGGCAGGGAGCTGACCAGGCTATGCACCCCAGTGTCTCTCCAGCTTGCCCCAGACAACCCTACATATATGGCAGTATCTGTTAGTTCCTTGCACGCTGGTGAGGGCCCACGTTGTCATGGGAAAGTACACCCCTACCCCAGTCTTTTTTGAGCCCCTATTGTGCTGGGGGCCACACAGGAAGCTCCCATGGGTAAGAGCCCCTATTCAAGTCACTTCCTGCTTGTGATCACTTTCCCCAGGGGCTGATAAGCCTCCCTCTGCACCTCCCAGTTCCAGAACTCAGCCCTGAGCCAGCCTTTCCCTGTTCCTAGGAAGCTGTTCTGGGCCTTGGGCTTCTGGGAGCCCCATGCTTCCCCTGGTACAGTACACACATGGCTTGGGAATCACCTCCCTTCATCCTTCTCATCTCTTAATCACGAACTTCCCACTCCAAGAGGCAGGGGCTGCATCAGCCTCACCGTGTCCGAAGCACAGTGGTGGGCTGCAGGAACTCAATGAAGGCATGCCTGTGTTTATGGAAGAATTAAGCATGACCTGGCTTTGCTGGGGAGATAAACAGATCCAGGGTCATAGTGCCAGGGAAATCACAGCAGGATTTAAGCCTCTAGTCTGGGAGAACGAGGAGTCTGTGTGGATGGGGCTGAGTAGGAAGCACCTGCCCATTTGGGTTATCAGTCTTCCAAATAATTTAGCTCCTACACCGCAGCTTCCAACACAAGCAGTTTCAGTGCAGAAACAGGCTCAGTTTGGAGCTGTTCCGAGGAAACTGGGGAGGGGCCCATGTGAGGCCAGGGATCTGCTTGGAGATCTTCCTGGCACCCCCCAGCTTTGCTCTGAATATATCTTGAAAACCACTCAACTGTGCCCTCCTCTCCCAGGTGAGGACAGTGAAGTGTAGGCAGGGAAGGTGACTCAGCATCCCAGGATTAGTGCTTTGCCTCCCCAAGGGTGCCAGGGGGCACCGTGAGCTGGCTCTACAGCACACAGGAGGAGGGCAAGGGCAGCAAGCAGATATTGTCCTAACCTTGTGGCTCGACACCTACTTGTCCACAGTGGTTCATCCCCAACTCCCCTGCAATGGCTCACGATCTCAAGGATGCTCATTACCACTGTCCTCAAGAGCTTCAAAGAGCAACTGGTACCTGGGCCTCAACTGGAAGCTCTGACATCACAGTCCTGGGATGTGGCCTTGGCAATAGGACTTCTTTTCATGGCTCCCTAGGGCGCTCTGATGTGTAGTCAAATTGAGAATCACTGGGTCAAGGGATGGTTGGTTCTGATCCATGCCAGCTCAGGCTGTATGCTGGAACCTTCCGCAGACCAGTTATGATAACGGGTGGGGGAGGGCCCTTCTAAACAGGGCCTGGGAATCTGCATTTGTAAAGAGTTAGCTGCCCTGTCATCTTTTGGGTCTGTGGGACTGCAGGAACAACCAGGCATGCTCCGAGCCACAGGGCAGTTGAAGACATGATGGCCCCTTTAGGCTGGGGCCTCCAGAAATGACTGTTTCCAAAAACACAGAGCCTGGCTGAGGAGCCCTTCCATGTGCCACGCAGCAGAAACCAAGCCTTGTGGTAGGAATGAAGGATGCACAAGGCTTGCGGCGCCTCCTTTCTTCTCTCTGACTGTCTCTCACCAGTTGTCCTCCTCCACCCTACCCCAGCCCTGGGTCATCTGTCTTACCTCAGACGAGGACTGGCTGCAGCATGCATCTCTGTGGGGGCGGGTGGGGGTTTATGCCATCTGAACTCATAGGCATTGCTTGTTTTAGGGCAGAACTTCACAAAACAGTGGGAGGACACTTAGTGTGGCAGGATGACAGAAGCCATGCTAAGCCCTTCCCCAACCCCAGGGCCTGGCCTCTAACTTCCTGCTGGGGAAAAAGGTCACCAGCTCATCAGGGGCCAGGCAGCTGGTCAGTGGATGTCTCAGGATGCAACGTTCCCAATGTAATGGGTTCTCCTACAGCCCACCCACCAGGAGTCAGGAGCTCAGTACTGGCCTTGGGTCAACTCCAGATAGCCCACAGCAATGGCCTGAGGCCTCAGTCAGGCTCAGGGCCTGGAGGGACTGAGGCAGGATGGCAATGCCAGTGGCTCTGGCCCTGCGCAGCTCTCCTGGCCAGATTCTTAGCCAAGGCCCTGGCTTTTCAGTGGCAGTTGCAGGCTGGGAGAGGCTTTCAACGTATGCTTCAACTGCAAGTGAACCTGGGATGCTCAGAGCAGCAGTGCTGCCACCAACTGGCGACTGTCCCCATGGGCCTCCCTGGGCTTGGAGGCCTCAGCTGAATGGAAATCAGAAAAGCTCACCAGAAATATTCGGGACTGAGGAGCTGGTGCAGGCAAAATGTGTAGTAACCGTTAGCAGCTCGCCCTTCTTTGGGGGAGGCACCACATGGGAAGGCTTCCTCCAGCACAGGGAAGGGGCTGGCATATTCAGAGGAAAGTAGAAGCAGCAGAAGAGGCACAGGGAAGGGGGGAGACCCTCCAGGCTAGAACATGACAGCAAGTTTGAGTTCCAGCTCTGGTCCAAGGATTATTCACTGGACTTTCTCTGCAACCCAGCACTCAACCACTATCAGAAATTGCAGCTTTGCCATTACAGTGTCCGCTAGATTGGAGGTGGGCGGTGGTAGTCCCTCTGTGCTTCCTTTGGCCAAATGGGTCACCTGACCAGCAGTCAACCCAGGGATCAAAGTTCCTTTTCTGTCTTTATCTCCCTCTAGCCTGCCTCATACTCTTTCTCCTCCACCAAGACAGGTCACTTAAGAGCCTTCCCAATCCTTCCTTCCAGTCTCCACTCCTGAGTCCAACCTGTCCCTCCAGCTGGGAGTACCACTTAGGTCTTCTCTGTGACGTCCAGCTCAGCACTCGGCACCTTCTCGTGCCTGCTGGCTATTTACTGCATTGGACAACACAAAGCTCCTCTTGCATCACGGAAAGTCATATTGTATAGCCATTTACTGCTCCAAAATGCAGCTCCCTGAACCAACTGGGGACAGTGACCAATCCAGGAGCAGAGGATGGCGGCTCCTCAAACGGGCATGGCAGGGTAGGGGTGGGGTTGGGTAGGAGTGGAGAGGTCCCTGATAACATCTGACACAGGAGGTAAGAGGCAGCAGGGTCTGAAACTTGCTCAAAAGTCCCCCCCGCCACCGCCCCGCCAAAAATCACACCACCATTCTGTGGTTCTGTGGTTCTCTAAAGAGAAGGAAGCAAAGCTTTTCCAAGTTCAAGTCTACCTGGTTACAGCTCCTCAGCTTTGGAGCTGACTCACCTGGCTCAGGCTCTGCCTCCCAGTCTTCTGCAGAGCCACGATGGCCCGTCCCAGGGGGTATCCCAGGGCGACCACTGGCCCAATGAGGTCTTGCTCCTCCTGGCTCAGGGCGGACAGCAGATCAGCCGTAGAATCGGGTTGTGACCTGTGGTGGTGGAGAGGCTGTGGTGCCCCCCCAAGAGGTGGCAGACAGGTGTATGGGCTGAGAGACTGAAATACAGGTAGGCTAGACGTGTCAGTTTCTGTAATGGGAGGTGACAGCTGGCTAGGACAGTCACTGCACACAGTGTCATTACCTTGCTAGAGTGTCGGCGTTGGGAGAGTGGAGGGCTTAGAGAACTGCAGACCCTAGCTGCCCACGGAGTTTCCTCCAAGAAGCCAACGCACAGGGGTGTTATGAGGTGTGAGATGGTGTGAGAACACAAATCAGCAAAAGACCTGACTTACAGGAACTCAGTTAATGCTAAAGTTCCACCTGTTGCTTAGAATCACGATAACTGCAATGCAACCTCTTGTCTGAGCCAAAATCCAGATGGTAATAACCTTGAAAGCAACACATGTTTGGGACCTGAACCCCTCCGTTCAAAGCTCTCCTTAGTGAGGGCAGTATAGAGATGGGGTGTTTCTTGGCCAGCTTCTTGTGATTGGCTGGGCTGCTGCTCGGCAGGGCAGGCAGCAGGTGGGTACCATGGTCCTGCAAGACCCCAAACAGACCCTGGACCAGGAGTCTGGCAGGAGGGCATTTCAGCTGGTTTGGCTGCCATCACCCCTACCCATAGTTCATGAGGAAGTACTGGTCCCAAGAAACTACTCTACCTCTCCTCCCAAGGACAGCCTGCCTGGGATGCATCCTGGTCCCTGCGACTGAGGGTGGGTGTATGGGTGAGGAGATGGGGAGAGCTATGACTCCCTGCCCATTGTCATCTTCTGGGAGGGTGATGAGTGCCCGCCATCACTGCACCCCAGGGTCTCCCCTCACTTTCCTGGTGGAAAATACCCACGTTGCAGGAGTTGAGTCTACCCTGGTGTCCTCAGCTCCTCTCTGCCTTGGCCTCCTGCCCCACCTGCCCCACTGCACTATTGGAACAGATCAGAAAGAGCAAGCCTGGCATCGGCATCTGGTCTCCAAGGTGAGCATGGCCCACCTGCCTCACAGGCCCTCAGCTCCCCCTCTGTGTCTGCTCTAAGCCACCACGTGCAGGGTCACTGGGCCTGCTCCAGGGGCATGAAGACCAGTAGCTTAGTGACTTGCCTAAGGTCACGCATCAGAGAGCAGGTCTCAGGCTGGGCTTTCAGGTCGACTCTCTCAGCTTTACTCTGCAGCCTGTGTGGGGCTGCCAGTCCCGACCCAGCCCACCTGCTCTGAGTGCAGATCTGTGTGTGCAATCTGAAACTTTCTTGACCCAGAGGGGACCTTTCAGAGGCAAGGGATACAAAGCAGTGGATAAAACCTCAGGTGCAAGGCCTCTGGAGGGATAAGGTGGGAGGCCTGAAGTCGACTTTATCCAACCTTACTGTACACTCACTCCTGCTGGGTGTTCTCTCTGGGTCATCACCACCATCCTGAAGCCTGTGCAGCTTGTAGCATCCTGGCCCTACTCTTTCAACACCTGACCCTCCCCATATGGTGCTAGGGCCTGGTCCCATTACCCTTCGACCAATCCTTCTTGTCTGCTGGGCTTGGCTTTCTCTCTCTCCACCGGGGTGGGGCAGGGGGAGCAGATGCAGCGAGGGTACTACAGGGAGTCACTGCAGGGATAAAACCCTCTGCAAAGCCAGCCTCATGGAGAGCCCCAGATTTTTCACTTGGACATTTGCTGAGCATCCCCTATGGGTCAAATCGAATGCGAGGCTCTCTGGAAACAGAAACACCACCTGGTTCCTGCCTGGGGAACTCACCATCGTATAGGAGAGGGACAAGGGGTGGGTCTTGGCCATTAGTGGACTTAGTGCCCCCGCAGAGGCAAAGCAAACACAGCGGGAAAAGGGGTGCGGGAGGAAGGGCTGAGAGGGCTGAGGGCCTGGGAGGGCTTGGGGCAGGGGACATCCTAGGGTCCAGGCAAAGGGAGTAGGTAGGAGCAGACAAGACAGAGCTGGCAGCCCCAGCGGGTCAGAGTTCTTACCGCGGCTGTGGGCTTGTGGCTGCGCAGCGGAGGCACAGCGCCGGCCGTGGAGGGTCGGGGTGGCAAGGGGCTCGAGCAGCAGAGGCTCAGAGCACGGTGGCCACGGGGACGGGGCAGTGATGTGCTGGGCCGGGCTGCTAGCCTGCCCTCCGAGAGCCGCCTGCAGATACCTGCTGCCGGCTCCAAGCACATGCTGCACAGCACGCCCACCGAATCCTGGTGAGGGTCGTGTGGACCTGGATCCTCCTCACTGCCGGAGGAGAGCTCTTCTTCATTCTCTTCCTTCACCTCTTCCTCCTCCTCCACTTCCGGCCACTCCTGGCTTTGGCCGGCAGCAGGTGCAGGCTCCAGCAGGTATTCCGGGCTCAACAGCAAGAGCCAGGCCGGAGGTGCCGATGCTGTCCCTGGGTCCTCATGCTGGGGCGGGCAGGGTCCTGGGATGATGGCTTCCACCCAAAAGAGGACCTTCCTTTCCAGGCTGAAGTTATGCTTTTCAGAGAGAAGGCAACATGAGGTCTGTTTCCAACTCCTGGTTTCAGGGACACCAGACAACCCCCCTGCCCTCTACACTGATCATAGCACACCTTCACCCTGGGAGGTAACCTATACCGGGGTCCAGAGATATCCATAACAGTTGGATACCAAAACTCTGCCATGAAAGACAACGGGACTTCAGGATGTCCAAGCCCCTTGGCTCCCCAATCCCGCCCCCCCGCCCCCCGCAATGTGTCCTTGAACAATGAGTGTTCAAAAACTTCCTCAGACTGTCTATTCCCAACCAGGAGGCTTTTGCCTGAGTGCCACTCCTTTGCCACTACCCCGAGATCTGTGTCTGCGCCCACCCCCCCCCCCGCAAACGTACCTCCTCCTGCTGGGGGATCCCTCTCCCAGCCCCCACCACCTCTGAGCGGTCCCCAGAAATGTAGTCATGGCTAATCTCAGCTGAACTCTACTTAGTGGGTTCTGGTGTAACTCCTAGTCCCAGATAATGAATAAGGATCATTGCATTTCATGGGGACAGATGGTGGCACAGTGGGTGGCTGGGCTGGTTTGTCCCTGTCCTCTGCTTTCTCCCAAAGACAGAACCAGGGAGCAGGAGTTTAGTCCGGCACCATGTACCTGGTCCCTTTTCCAGTTCTCCACTCTGGCTTCAGCATCCGTGACTTTGGAAACTAGTGGTGATAGCTCAGATAATCAGGTTCCTGCCACCCTCATGGCAGACCTGAATTGCATTCCTGGCTCCAGCCCTGGTTTACTCCAGGAGCGAACCAGCCAATGGAAGCTCCCTGTGTCTCAGTCTCCCTGCCTCTTCCATTTTAGAAACTCAACTGGAACCCATGTAAAAAATCCAATGTAATAATTTATAAATGAACTACAACTGAATATCCTCATCACCTACCTTTAAAATTAACAAGGGGGTATGCACTTGGCTTTATGGCTGAGATGACTACATTCCACATCAGAATGCCTGGGTTCAATATGTGTATCTGGCTTCCGATTCCAGCTTTGCTCATGCAGACCCTGGGGGTTGTGGTGATAGCCCAGGAAACTGAGTCCTGCTATGCTGGGAGACCTGGCTTCAGCATAGCCCAGGCCTGGCCACTGTGGGCATTTGGATATTGAATCAGAAGATGGGAGAATATTTCCTATCTATCCATCCTTTTTTTGTCCGTCTCTCAATTAATTTTTTAAGAAGACTTTTTAAATTATTTATTTATTTATTTATTATTGCAAAGTCAGATATATATAGAGAGGAGAGACAGAGACAAAGATCTTCCGTCCGATGATTCACTCTCCAAGTGACCACAACGGCTGGAGCTGTACCAATCAGAAGACAGGAGCCAGGAGTCAGGAGCTCTTCGGGGTCTCCCACACAGGTGCAGGACCCAAGGCTTTGGGCCGTTCTCTACTGCTTTTCCAGGCCACAAGCGGGGAGCTGGATGGGAAGTGGGGCTGCCAGGATTAGAACCAGTGCCAACATGGGATCCAATTCATACAAGGAAAAGACTTCAGCTGCTAGGCCACCATGTGGGGCCCTCTCAATTAAATTAAAAATTCCAAAAGTATCAAAGCTTCAAATATATGCTATGAACCTATCAAAGTACTAAAAAAACAGGAGAGAATTCCTTTTCACAATCTCGGGCAGACAAAGCCTTTTTTTTGCCTTAGATCAAAATCCTGAAGCCAGGACAGACATGTGCCTTGGCAGCTAAGACACTGCTCGGAGTCGTCACATCCTGACTGACTGGCCTCAAGTCCTGGCTCTGCTCTGGATTCCAGCTGCCTGGTCATGGGACCCTGGGAGAGAGTGGGTGATGGGTCAAGGACTCGGGTCTCTGTCACCCATGGGAGGGATCTGGATGGAGCTCCAGGTCCCTGATTTCAGCTTACCCCAGCCCAACTCATATGGAAATGAACAAGTGAATGGATGATCCTTTTCCCTTTCTCATGAAACTTTTAAAAAGTCCAAAAGATAATTCTACCACACAAACACAGAAATTTTGCAAGGCCAATATGCCCTGTAAACAAAGTTAAAAGACCAATGAGAAACTTAGTGATGGTGGGGTGGGGGGCAGCTCTCATATCACAGACAGAGAATGCCTAGAAATGGATGAGGAAAGGCCACAAACCTAACAGAAAAATGGGCAAAAGTAATCCACAAACAAGAAAACACAAATGGCTGTTAAGCATATGAACAGCTGTTGGCCCTCACTGCTCGTAAGAGAAAGACAAATTACAACTCTGCCAATATGTCACCTGCCTGATCCTGGACAATTCCAGTTGGGCAGGGGAGACTGGGAGGAAAAGACTTGCCAAACTATGGGGCCCAGCGTCATGGCCTAGCGGCAGAAGTCCTTGCCTTGAACACGCCAGGATCACATATGGGCGCCGGTTCTGGTCCTAGCAGCCCTGTCCCGCATCCAGCTCCCTGCTTGTGGCCTGGGAAAGCAGTCAAGGACAACACAAAGCCTTGGGACCCTGTACCTGTGTGGGAGACCCAGAAGAGGATCTGGGCTTCTGGCTTTGGATGGGCGTAACACCGGCCATTTCAGTCAATCATCGGACAGAAGATCTTTCTGTCTTTCCTCCTCTCTATCTCACTTTGCAATAAAAATAACTAAATCTTAAAAAAAAAAAAAAAGACTTGCCAAAAATGTGGGCTGGAGTGTAGGTCAATAGCTCAGGGGAGAGCAATCTGGCTTTACATCAAACACTCTTGGACATGTGCTTGTAATTCCCTCCAGCGTTATTTGCAATGGTGAGAGAACCACCCGAACTGTTCATTCAGGGGGGCCTGGCTCAACAGTGTGACACAGCCATGTGGTGTGCAATAAAGACACTGTTGAAGGAGTTTCCCACAAACTGATACAGAAAGATCTTAAATATATAATTAAGTGAAGAAAAAAAAAAGCCCAAGAGGAATTGTCAAGGAGGAAATTGTATTTTCTTGCATATAAACCTAAAGACTCTCAGGAAGAATACATTTAAAAACGAGTAACAGGGACTGATATTATGGAATACAGGGTTAAAGCACCACTTGCTATGTCCATATCCGATACTGAAACACTAGCTCCAGTCCCAGCTGCTTTACTTCAGATTCAGCTTCCTGCTAATGTTCCAAGAAAGTGGCAGATAATGGCCATCTGCGTACTTGGGTCCCTGCTGCCTATATGGAAGGTGGTATTCTGGTCTCCTTGCTTTCAGCCCAGCCATGTCTGTTACAGAGTGAATCACTCTCTCTCACCCTTTCTAGATTACTCTGTTTTCAAATAAGTAAATGTATCTTTCTTTTTAAAAATGAATAATAGAAGTTATCAATGAGGGGGCAGAGAGGGAATAGGGCAGACAAAAAGGTGTCAGAGGCAGGCCTGACACAATAGCCTAGTGGCTGAAGTCCTCGCTTTGCAAACACGGGATTTCATATGGGCACTGGTTTGTGTTCCAGCTGTTCCACTTCCCATCCAGCTCCCTGCTTGTGGCCTGGGAAAGAAGTTGAAGACAGCCCAAAGCCTTGGGACCCTGCACCCAAGTGGGAGACCCGGAAGAAGCTCCTGGCTCTTGGTTCCAGATCAGTTCAGCTCTGGCTGTTTCTCCTCTCTGTAGATCTGCCTTTCCAACAAAAATAAATAAATCTTTAAAAAAAAATGTTAAGGGTAGGTGGACTGATTGTGAGTCTATTTTTATGAATTAAGTTTGATTATAACACGACTAAGGTCACGTCTAATGGTTATATTGTCTTCGGATCTTTCTTTTTTTTTTAAGATTTATTTATTTTTATTGCAAAGTCAGATATACAGAGAAGAGGAGAGACAGAGAAGATCTTCTGTCCGATGATTCCTTCTGATGATTTTTCCATATCATTGTATCATATAGCTATGTATTATACATAAAATATATCTCCACTCATTTTAAAACCACATGAATGTATTTTCTCTTAAAAGACAGGAAAACAGGCCTGGCATGGTGGCCTAGAACGTGCCAGGATGCCATGTGGGCACAGGTTCTAATCCCGGCAACCCCAGTTCCCATCCAGCTTCCTGCTTGTGGCCTGGAAAAGCAGTCAAGGATGACCCAAAGCCTTGGGACCCTGCACCTGTGTGGGAGACCCGGAAGAGGATCTGGGCTCCTGGCTTCAGATTGGCGCAGCTCTGGCTGTTGTGATCACTTGGGGAATGAATCATCAGACTGATATTCTTCTCTGTCTCTCCTCCTCTCTATATATCTGACTTTGCAATAAAAACAAAATATATCTTTTTTTAAAAATTAAAAAGGGCAAGAAATTAAAGCAAAACTAAATCAAAATTGCCTTGTTGAGGCGCTCACTGTGGAAGAGAGGTCTCCATGGAAGGCAGCAGGGTGGAGGGATTGGATGTGATTTGCGGTCTGGCAGACTTTGTCAGAAACATTGCTGTGTCCCTTGGAAGCTGTGTGGCTTGGCACTCACATGAGTGGAAAATTTATTTTCCTGTGCCATGGTACAGGAATACTCATCTGCTAAAATGTCCTCCAAAAGAATTAAAGAGGGGTGGGCATTTGAAGCAGTTGCTAAGATGCCATTTGGGATGCCTGCACCACACATCAGAGGACCTGGGTTTAAGTTCTGGCTTCTCTTGCAATTAGAAGGAAGTATGTGATGGTTAAATACTTGGGCCCCTGCCATGCATGTGGGAGACCAAGATGGAGAGCCTGGCTCCTGGCATCAGTCTGGTCTAGCCCTGGCTGATGTGGCTATTTGGGGAGTAGACCACAGGGCTGATTTTGAAGCATAAAGGATTAATGCTGGCATCCCATATGAGTGCTGGTTCCTATAATGTGTCTGGGAAAGCAGCGGAGGATGGTCCAAGTTCTTGGGATCCTGCAGCCACATAAGAAACTCAGATGAAGTTCTCAGCTACTGGCTTCAGCCCTGTCCCCACTGTAGCCAGGGATCTGTAGCAGCAGATCTGTTCCCTCAAACCACTCAAGATCCTGCCTGACCCTTGCAAATGCCTCCTTTTCTGATTGTGTGCTCTGCGCCTCACTTCCCCAGCCCACCCCTTGCCACACACACTTCCATTTCTGCCTTTAAAGCTTCCAGTCCTATTCTTAGCTCTGACATGACCTGGCCAGACTGAGGACCTGAATTTCTGGCTTATCATTGACACTAAAATGGGATATAATCCTTTCCCTTCTCTGGATTCCACATTCCTTGCATACAAAAGGAGTGAGAGTAGAGCCAGATGCCCATACTTCTCCATGAAGTGCCCTCAGGTGGTGGAGCAGGAACACAAAAAGGCCTAGAACACACAAGGCCAGCCTCATAATTCTTGGCAATCTTAGCTTTAATTTTTTTTTTTTTTAATTCACAGAATTTTGCAACCTATCCCTGACATAGCTGTGTTCCATTTAAAAATGCAACAGGGGCCTGGCGGCATGGCCTAGTGGCTAAAGTCCTCGCCTTGAACGCACCAGGATTCCATATGGGTACTGGTTCTAATCCCAGCAGCTCCACTCCCCATCCAGCTCCCTGCTTGTGGCCTGGGAAAGCAGTTGAGAATGGCCCAAAGCCTTGGGACCCTGCAACTGTATGGGACACCCGGAAAAGGTTCCTGGTTCCCAGCTTCGGATCGGCATAGCACTGGCCGTTGTGCTCACTTGGGGAGTGAATCATCGGATGGAAGATCTTTCTGTCTCTCCTCCTCTCTGTATATCTGACTTTGCAATAAAAATAAATACATCTTTAAAAAAAATGCAATAGTTTGGCCTGCTCGGATCTTGAAGTAAACTTAACTCTCCAGGAAGTTGACACTTGAGGCTACATGGAATATCAGCACTCACACCTGTCAGCAGAGCGAGCCATGGGACATAATGGAGTTACTCCGAGGTCACCTGTGGTCATATGTGCTGTTCGCATCCCTGCCTCTTGGTGTGTCCTACATAACTGCCCCTTCACAGAGGACTCTGAAAACTGCATCTTAGCCTGACCAAGTGATTCCAATGATGGAATGTCAGCTGCAGTAGGCTGACAGGGAAGAGAGGAACTGGAGCATTCTGACAGTAACTCTCATACACATCACACAGGCAGCCTCCAGTTACCCCAAAATTTAAAGCAAGACTTGCTCAAGTAATCTTCAATGCCCAGCCACCAGCATGCCTTTTCCTCTGCTGGATTATTCTCAAACTCCTTGGATTATACAATAGCCAAGCTGCCCTTTACTTATTTTTAAGAGTTATTTATTTTTATTGGAAAAGTGGATATACAGAGAGGAGGTGAGACAGACAGGAAGATCTTCTGTCTTATGGTTCACTCCGCGCAAGTGGCCTCAATGGCTGGAGATGAGTCAATCCAAAGCCGGGAGCCTGAAGACTTCCTGGTCTCCCACTTGGGTGCAGGGTCCCAAGGCTTTGAGCTGTCCTTGACTGCTTTCCCAGGCCACAAGCAGGGAGCTGGATGGGAAGCAGGGCCGCTGGGATTAGAACTGACATCCATATGGGATCCCGGTGCATGCAAGACAAGGACTTTAACCACTACACTATCGTGCCTGGCCCCCTTTACTTATTTTTAACTATTTGTCTATTCATTTGCTAGGCAGAGAGAGGCTAAGTACTGTCTTACTTCCCAAATGCTCCCAACAGCTGGGACTGAGTGGAAACTATAGCCAGGTGCTAAGAACTCAGTCTGGCTTTCTCATAGGGGTGGGAATATTTATGCTCTCACTACTGCCTCCCAGGATCTGAATTAGCCTGGAATTAGGAGCAGGAGCCAAAGAGCAAATCCATCCACTCCTAACCACTAGGCTAAAGGCCTTCCCCCAAACTGCCCCTTACAAACCAGGAAGAAGACTCCTTTGGACTGAGCCCCAGACCCAGAGATGAGTAGAGAGACAGGCAGAGACACACACTTACCATAGAACCCAGCAGGAGCTCCCTGCAGTCTGGGACACTGAGCTCTGGCCCAGGGACAGGCTCTGTGTCTGTCACAAAGCCACTGGGGACCTTGAAGGGGACACCATCGAGGGCATTCATCCTGTCTGAGAAGAGTGGAGATGGCTTAGCAGGGCTGGGGCACGCCTCCTGGTGACAGGCAGAGACTTCCAAGTCCTGAGGACCAGGCACAGGCCTCAGACGGCTTCACCACTTCCCTCTGTGGTTGCTTGACTGAGCCCCACACAACTGGAAAGGAAGAGGCGAGGTGATGAGTTCTGCAACAGGAGGAGGTAAATGGAAGCAAGAGCATACACATGGGCAGGGCTGACTATTTCATATTCCAAACCATATTAGTTTTTCTTCAAAAGAATGATCCACAATACTTAACTCCAAAACATTTCATTCAGAGTTGTAACCCGAATGTTTAAGGGAGAAATTACATCAGTTACACAAACTCTTCCCTAGAAGAAGCATGAAATACCTGTAACTTGTTTTGATTCGAGCATAACCTTGATACCAAACAATAAGAAAACTAGAAGCCAATCTCTCATGAACCATAGATGCAAAACTTTATACAATACCACCAAGTTGAGTTTATTCCATTAGTGATAGATTGGCTTCACGTTTCAAAATCACTAAATGAGAATAAATGTGAAAAATTCTGTATCTCCATAGATGTGGAAAAATTCTTGATAAAATTAACATCTATTGCAACAAACCTTTGACAACAAGAGAATAACCTCAACCCAACAATGAATATCTCCCAAACATCTGTAGCAAATATCCCACCTAACGGCAAATATTTAAATATACCCCCAAGAGTGGCAATGTGACAAGAATAGCCCCAGCATTTCTTTGAGTCAACATCTGGAGGTACTAGCTTGTGCAAAAAGACAAGGAAATAATACAAGTATAAGGATTTCAACAGGCAGCTTAATGCACTGTGCCACAATAAGAAAGGAAGGAAGGAAGCAAGCAAATAAGCAAGCAAGCAAGGAAGGATGAAAGAAGGAAGGAAAGAGGGAAGGAAATAAATGGAAAAATAACCATTGCTTGTAGGTAATATAATTATGTGAGGAAAATACTGAATAATCTTTGAATAAAAGTCTTATGATTAGTAAGCAAATTTACCAGAGGCATTGGATAAAAGGTCAATGTGCAGAAATCAGCTATCTCTTTACACTTTATTTATGTCACATCTTCTGGGAAAAACTGGTATGATAATCTAAAATGAAATGAAATGAAAAGGGCCAATAACAGTCATGAGAACCTTAAATTAGTAAAAAGGTAGATTTATGCCATCAGGATTTTGGACAAACTTCCTTCAAAATAACAGTAATTCCAAACAGTATGGTAGTGACATGAGATCAATAGAACAGAAAGTCCAGAAACAGATTTATACCCATGTGGATCCTTGATTTATGACAAAATTGACCTCAAAAAGCCTCTGAATCAACTAAATATTTTAAATAAATATTGATATCACAACATTTATACACAAAAAATCAATTCCAAGTAGACTGTAGATCTAAATGTGAAAAGTAAAATACAAAAGCTTGAAAATAAGAGACTATATTCATGGTCTTGGAATGGACAAACCTTGCTTAAACAAATTGCCCAAAAAAGTCTACTGATAGTGGAAAATATTGATGAATTTGAATGGTTAAGAACTTCAATTCATCACAATACACAATTAAGGAAGCAAAAGTAAAAAGTCACACCGGGAGAGGTATTTGCCACACATCCATCTGATAAAGGATTCATATCTGACAGAACTTTCACAAGCAGTAATAAATGAGAAATTTCCATGGAAGCTACACAAAAGGGCATATCCAAATAGCCAATAAACATCCAACTTGTCTAACTTTGCTAACCACCATAAGAATGCTAAATGAATCAGTGGGATTTTGTGTATCACATACACAAAGCTATGAATGATTAAAATCAAACAGCCTGATGTCATCAAGTGTTGAGAATACAGAATCCCTATGTCCTGTTGGTAAGAAAGCCTATTAACATTGACTAACAGTATTTACTATAGCTCGAATTGAAGAACTATAAACTCATTCACATATCACTGCTTGCCTTTGGCTAAGATCAAGCGTAGTATCTGTCCTCATGTAGCATTTACAGCAGCCAAGGATTTGAATTTTTGATGCATTTAAACCTTGTTAAATATGGAGTGACACAGAATTTAAACTCATGACTGCCTACAATATAAATCTAGACTCCTGACCAGAGTCCAGCATTTTTGCAAAACAAGCAGAGCTTACCAAGGGAGTGTGCATCAGGAAGACCTCTGGCTCCACACAAGCTGTCAGTTCTGCCAGGATGATGCAGAAGCCTTGCTTCTTAGGGTCACTGTGTTGTCAACCTCCCGCCGTGTGTCCCTGAGCCCCCATTTGTGAGCACGTCATGTAGAGAGGGAGGGTGAGTCATCTCAGTGCAGAGCAGTCAAATGAAGGCAAGTAGGCAAATCCCTTAATTCCCTCCTCTCCTCCCCCACCTGTCCACTCCCATCAGCATCTTCCCCGTGGGACTCAGCAGGCTTCTCCACCCTGCGCCTGCAGCCTGTCTCTCAGCACGTCAGGATGTGGCTCTGACGCAGCTCCCAGGATACAGCCTCTGGCAGCAGCTGGTCAACAAATTGCCCCTTCAGTGAAATCTTACAAAGCACTTTTGAAGCCTAAGACTTAGTTATAGGACTGAGGTGTGTTAACCAAGTTTTGATAGCCTCAGGCTCATTACTTACATTGTCAGCCATTGTTCGAATTTTGAGCTATTTGGGAAGGTCACAGTTCCACTTAGATTCGAGTGTGAACTGCTTGCTATCCCACCTTCAACCCAGCACCTACCTCCTGAAGGTGCTATATACTCAGCCTGACACTTGCTTCTTGGGAAATTTCAGTTTGAGGATTCTGCCAATCACTTTAAGTCTTTAAGATGTATTTGAAACTGTATTAAACACTAAGTCACAGAGAATTTAAGCTCGCAATAGCCTATTTTGCACACACACAATTTTGTGACTCAATTGGTAAGTGTTTCAGGGTAAGATGTGATCTGCTTAAAATAGCTCTTAAATTCGGGGTTCCCTTGCTATGTACAAAATGAGAGGTACAGATCAGTAATAATGTTCCCCAGAGGAAAGAGAATGGTCTGCTCCTTCTGGTGTTTTGAAAACAGATGGGGCCTCACTGAGAACTTGGAGGCTGGGAGAACAGCCTGTGAGTGGGGAAAGGGTTTGCTGGAGAGCAAGATTCCAGGGAACAGCTGGATCAAGTCAGAGGTAGGGAATCCAGCATTGTGGCACAGTGGCCTAAGCTGCTGTCTGTGACATCAGTATTCCATACGGCACTGGTTCAAGTCCTGGGCATCCTACTTCTGATCCTGCTCCCCACTAATGTGCCTGGGAAATCAGCAGGCACTCTGGATGCCCCAGGTACTCCTGTGGAAGACCCAGATGAAGCCCTTGGCTTCTGGCTTTGACCTGGCCCAGACCTGATCCTTATGGCAATTCAGGGGAGCGAACCAGTGGATGAAAGCTCTCTGTCTCTCTCGTTCCCTGAATAACTGCCTTTCAAATAAATGAATAAACCTTAAACAAATGAGCAGAGGTAGGAGGAACAAGTGTTGGATGCACAAGCTGCCTGACTAAAGCTTTCACTATAAGATGTAATGGACAGTAAGATGTAAAAGTTGGGAGGCTTTTGAACTTCAGGCTGAGTGCTGACTCCATGCAGGTGGTGGTGAGAAAAAAAAAAAATCCCCAGAGGAGCCAGGAGGGGAGACTGCAGGAAGGCCAGACTGGGTAGGCTTTAGCAAAAGACAGGACTGTAGTCCAGCACCTCTCAATACCAGTCCGTGGCCCTGTGGTCACTGGCTGTACCTGCCTGCTCATAGGGTCGAGTGGGTAGAGGTTGCAGAAATCGGTCTGGGTGGGGCCCACACAAGGACAGCATTGTTTTGACAGCTCTCTACTGTCTCTTCTAAATGACTTCATCCTTACCCATAGCTCTAATCACCATTCAAAGAATCACGAATTCAATTTTCCAGGTCTCAGATGAGACCAAATTCATACACACAGCTGCCTGCAAGATTTCTCAAACACACTTCAAATGCAACAAAGTGAATTCCTGGTTCTCTCTGTCCTAGACCCACCTCTTCCCCGGTTCCTCCTCTCAGTGCTCAAACAGCAATATCCAGTCAAGGGCGCGAGGACTCAGTCCTGAAGCTGTCTTCCTCCTTTCTACCACTAACCTACCCACGCATCAGGTCAAGTCTCTGAGATCCAGCCAGTGGGAATCCATCTCACAATATCTTGCACTTGCACATATGGCCTCTCATGCTTTATTACTGTAACTCTGCTCCATAACATACAGAGGCCAAAGTTATCATTTCAAAACACATACCAAAGTCAGTCTTGTGTTGAAACTCTTCAGTGTTCCCAGCTGCTTTCAGAAGTGGAACGGAAGCCTCTCTAAAGCCTTGTCAAGTCTAGCCTCTGATCCATCTCCTTGCACCTTACTTTAGCCATGATCGTTTTCAACGTAGCACTTGCTATTCAGAAAGCCATCGTCCTTATTTCCTCTCCACAATTAATTAAAAGTTTCATATTATTATTATTTTTTCAGAGTTCAACAGAAATGCCATTTCTTCAAAAAAGTTTTTTCTTGACTAGGGACTGGCATTGTCGCATAGCCAGTAACGCCGTTGCCTGTGACAACAGGCATCCTGTATAGGTGCTGGTTTGAGTCCCAGCTGCTCTACTTCTGATTCAGTTCCTTGCTAATGGTCTGGCGGTGCAGTGGAAGGTGATCCAAATACTTGGACTCCTGCCACTCATGGGAGAGACTTAGATGAAGCTAATAGCTTCTGGCCTCAGCCTGGCCCAGCTCCAATTGTTACAGTCATCTATGGAGTGAATTAGAGGATGAAAGATCTTTCTGTTTCTATCACTCTATAATTCTTTCAAACCCATACATACATATTTTAAAAAGTTTTCTTTGGGGCCCAGTGCAGTGGCCTAGTGGCTAAAGTCCTTGCCTTGAATGGGCCGGGATGCCATATGGGTGCTGGTTCTAATCTCTGCAGCTCTACTTCCCATCCAGCTCCCTGCTTGTGGCCTGGGAAAGCAGTCAAGGATGGCCCAAAGCCTTGGGACCCTGCACCCACGTGGGAGACCTGGAGGAAGTTCCTAGTTCCTGGCTTCGGATCAGAGCAACACTGGCCATTACAGTCACTTGGCGAGTGAATCATTGGACAGAAGATCTTTCTGTCTCTCCTCTTCTCTGTATATCTGATTTTGCAATAAAAAAATAAATAAATCTTTTTAAAAAAGTTTTCTTTGATCCCCAACTTTGGTTAGGTTTACCTAGTACAGTAGCTTTTAAGATTGTTTTTGATGGTGTCCCATAGTATATTTTGTGACCTAGCACAAACATATAAATGGAATAATTTTCACCATGACTACATGATACAAATATCACCTTTTATTTCCCCCTACTGTACTATAGAAGTCTGTCTGGGGGAGAAAAAAAAAAGCTGATAGATCTATGCATAGAGAATACTTAGTATTCTGCTTAGCCTCAATAAACATTTAATAAATATTTGGACAACAAAAACTATACATCATTGTTATACTTTGTTATAACAATTTTAACTAATTACTTTATTTGTATACATTTCTCTACTTGAGACTCAAAAACAAAGAAGGCAGGAATCTTATTTGTTTCTTTTACAAATTTCTAACAGGGCACCTAAAACATGGCATTTAAAAAAATCATCTAGGGCCCGGCGCAGTGGCGCAAGTGGTTAAAGGTCCTTGCCTTGCACGCCCGGGATCCCATATGGGCGCCGGTTCTAATCCCGGCAGCCCCGCTTCCCTTCCAGCTCCCTGCCTGTGGCCTGGGAAAGCAGTCGAGGACAGCCCAAAGCTTTGGGAACCTGCACCCGCGTGGGAGACCCGGAAGAGGCTCCTGGCTTCGGATCGGCATAGTATCGGCCCGTTGCGGCTCACTTGGGGAGTGAATCATCGGATGGAAGATCTTCCTCTCTGTCTCTCCTCTCTGTATATCCACCTTTCCAATGAAAAAAAAAAAAATCATCTAAGAACACAGTTCAAATCCTGGTGCTCCGAATTTAGCAAGCAGGAGCAAGCTGAGAAAAATGCTGCTCTGCAAAGTAACTCATTCAAACACCGCTTGCCTCAAAAATTTGAGATCTTTGCTTCAGAATTTAGCACTACTGGCAAATAGAATCTGTATTAGAAACATTCTTCTCGAGTGGGCAGATGTCACAGGGTAGGACTTGCTGTGTGGAGTCACACAATAGTAAACACTGTATGGGAATAATCAGATTTTCTCTAAGTATTGAAACATTTAGCTGGAAATGCCTCAGTCTGGGTTCACGAACATGAATTGTTCTGCGTGTATTTCATAGCTTTCATTCAGGACTTACTGAAATGGAACAAGACTCACTTTGTACTTACCCTGTAATCCCCAGCTTTCCTAGGGGGGCCGGACACACACAAGTGAACTGCTAGAACAGATGGTAGAATCCCTGCTAAGCTTCTTGCTACGAAAGTCACATGCACCTAGGAACATGAATGGCTTTAGAGGGATGAAATTGGTTGGGTTGTGGCCACAAATCCTTTGACAAGATAAACTCAAGTCACTTGGAATGACTATACACAGAACTAACATATAACCAATCTTTTTCTCACCCTCTCCCAATCTTTCCAGTACTTATCTAATTCTTGAAAAAAATACATATTAAATTTTTTTTAAAGGGGGCAGGCAACATTTAGCTTATTAAACTGCAGGTTGGGATGCCCGTATCCCATAGCAGAGCACCTGGGCTTGAGGCCTGTAGCGCCTCCTGATTCCAGCTTCCTGCAAATATGCTCTCTAGGAAACATCAGGTAATGGCTCAAGCACTTGTGTCTCTGCCACCCCATGTGAAAGGTTATCAACTGGGTCTGGTGTGACAGCCTAGTGGCTAATGTCCTCACCTTGCAAGCGCCAGGATTTCATATGGGCACTGGGTCGTGTTCCAGCTGCTCCACTTCCCATCCAGCTCCCTGCTCATGGCTTGGGAAAGCAATAGAGAATGGCCCAAAGCCTTGGGATCCTGTATCCATGTGGGAGGCCCAGAAGCTCCTGGTTCCTGGCTTCGGCTGTTGCAGCCACTCAGGGACTGAACCAGAGGATGGAGAATCTTTCTCTGTCTCTCCTTTTCTGTGTAAATCTGACTTTGCAATAAAAATATTTAGGGCCCGGCGCGGTGGCGCAATGGTTAAGGTCCTCGCCTTGAACGCCCGGGATCCCATATCGGCGCCGGTTCTATCCCGGCAGCCCCGCTTCCCTTCCAGCTCCCTGCCTGTGGCCCGGGATGTCGCGCCCACCGACCACCGACCCGCAGTGATGAGCAGACACGATTGAAGCCTTCCGCAGCAGTCTTTATTGTGCACACCAAGATTGAGAAAGAGGAAGCCCCGACCCACCTTTTGCTCTCACTATTATAGAAGGCAGCTCCGCCCTACCGGCTGTTCATAGGCCAGCCTTCTGATGATGTATTGATCATGCCTCTGGAGAGACTTACGGATAGGGCAAGGGCTTAGTCCACGCGCCGATCACGGGCCTGCCCATGTGCTGTATTACTGCGCCTGCGCAGGCGTCTGCGCAATTCAGCCAGGGGTGCGTGACTAACGTCACTACTGCTGACGTGCTCTCTCCCGCCAGGCGCCATCTTAAGGCCTCGCTGGACTTGAGCCAAAGGCAGGTCAAGTACAGGTCAAGTACAAGGCTCACAGCGGCTCACCACATCTCCCCCTTTCTTCTTTATAAGAGACGCCTGTCTTAGGTTGTGACAGGACAACTCCGAAGCCCGTCCGGAAGGATCATTGTTGCGCACCAATGACCTCCTGTCTTAGGCCGGATGATTGTCTGTCCCCTTACCCGTCATTGGCTGTCAATTATAAAGGCAAAAGCATTGGTTTAACCAGCCGGCCGCCCTACTGTGTGCAATGGGAGAGACCCCGACAGTGTGCAAGGGCCGGCCTCGAAGGAGACATAGTACACCCACTTAACTCGGTGCAATGCCACAAGGGCTCGAGGTGCTAAAGCTGAGTGCTAGTCTTCCTTCGAAAGCATGGTCAACCATGCCATAGGAGACGCGCCCTCTTGTAAGGCTAATAGCGCCTGGTGGATGATGACTCGATCTCGCGCAGCCCTCTTTCTCATACGCCAAAGGCAAAAAAGGGCTAGAGCTAATCCTCCACACAACAGTGAGAGCAAAACCCCCACTCCCGCCCATTCCTTCACAGGGGCTGCGATGGTCTTGATCCAGTCTGTCATGGAGTGTGCTATTGAAGGATCGACTCTGGTGGAATTAATCTGCACGATCGCGATCCTTAGATCTTGTTGAAGCTCGTCGAACTCTTTGGTCCAATTTCCTAAAAGATAACTAGACAGTTGTCTGGACAAATTAGCAGCATGTGAGCCATTAACAAAAGGAACCGATGTCACACATAGGCCAGGAAGACGCCATTGACAGCCTAATTGTGCTACTTCCCACAGGGTGTCGACCTGGTCTTGAACCAGATCGACTCTCTGATTCAAGACCATCAGGCCCCCTTTTAGGTGGCTATTAATGTGGGCCTGATTTTGTAAGGCTTGGGCTGTAGCAGCAGAAATGTTATTTAAGGCAGTGGCTGTCTGTACAGTGGTGGAAAGGGCCACGGCCGCCGTAGCGGAGGCTGCAAGAGCTACGGTAATAGCGGCTATCAGAGCAGCCGTTATCCCAAAATCCCTCTTCTGACGATATAGGGTCAGAGCAGTGGGGGTGTCCACGGGCCAGGGAAGCCATCTCGGGATGTGCATCACAACAGCTCCATCCCAGCCATCAGTGGCATTCCAGTATTGTGCCAATTTGCATCATTTCTCAGAACAATTCAAAGACGACACTGGTTGGCCCGTAGATTTAAACAGCAGAAACAAAAACGGAGGAATCACACAAACTGGAGTGGAAACAAAACTCTCTGTCCTAAATTCTTTGGTAACATTTAACGAGGTCTCAAAAGGTTCCGTAAAATTCCAGGTAACATTGGCAAGCATTATCTTGCCTCCTCTCAACATTGAAAATGGTTGCAAATCTGTACAAGATCCATTAATTCCACAAAGAAGCCACTGATGCCAGGGATTCACAAAAATAGATTGTACTGGATTTTGATATGTATAATTAAGGCCACTATAGGAGTTATTGCGCCAGGTACCCATAGCAGGAGAAAAAGTATATTGGCCTCGTCTGGCCCACATAACCATGGGGGACTGACAGGAGGTCCATGGTTTCAAAAGTTTTGATGAATAGGGCGTGGAACAACGGGGCATCCATTTTGGCTGTGATGGAATCGTCAGATTTCTATTAAGATGGCGGAGTGGCATAGCCCCGAAAATTATGGTGGCATTGGCAAAAGGAGCGGCCTCAGTAGATGGCGACTGTGTGGACAACAAAGTTTGCCTAAGCCATTGATCTAGCTTCTGTGTCCAGGTTAATTCTGGCTGATCTATTCATGTAGTTGCCTGTGGAGAAAAGTAATACAAGAATAATCCTCGCTGGCAGAGCCACTCTAAAACTGAAAACACAGGGAGCCACTCAGATCCAAATTATAGCTTGTAACATTGGCCTCTTCTAAATCTATAGGCAAATATGGCAAATCAAGGGTCTCATTTGTGGTAAAAAAGCGAGGAAACACAGCCGCTGTATGGGTGACCGGCAGGGGCCGTGGAAAGGCAGTTAGAATGCCCCAACGATGCTCAGTCATGGCTAAGCTGGATAGAAGCAGCACCCCAACTGGCACTAACAGGGTATTACCCCGAAAGGGATTCACGATTCTCATCCTTGGCAGCGTCCTCTTCGTCCTCTTGCGAAGGCGCTGCTTCAATCGGGCCTGGACAGCTGCGGGTCAATCGTGACGGAACCCAAATCGGGACTGGAGCATCCTGTGGAAACACACAAATAGCTCCTCGAGCTTGTCTTATTACCGGGTCTGGACCTTTCTATTTAGTTTCTAATACATCCTTCCATTTGACCCATGACTGTTCTTTAGTAGAGGGAAGGGAATGCCGATCGGCGGCGCTCAGGCCTTTCTCATCCAGCTGTAAAAAATTAATGGTAAAAAGGGCCAGGGCCAAAATGGCCCGAGGGCTATGGCTAGTGAGGCCAAATGAGTCCCAGGCGGTTCTCTGTTTTTGTATGTATTCTTTAATGGTGCGATGAGCACGTTCAATTATTCCTTGTCCTTGTGGATTATATGGGATACCAGTAATTAATTTCACACCCATCTGTTTGCAAAAGGCGTGAAATTTCACCGAAGTATAGGCAGGGCCGTTATCGGTTTTGAGACATTCAGGTTTACCCCACGCGGCCCATGCTTCTAAGCAATGTTGAATTACATGAATAGCCTTTTCCCCAGGTAGTACTGATGCAGAAAGTATGCCTGAAAAGGAATCAACAGATACATGAACAAATTGATTTTTCCCAAAGGAAGGGATGTGAGTCACGTCCATCTGTCATAGTTGATTAGGCCTCAATCCTCTGGGGTTAACCCCTTCATGCGGGACAGGCCTAAATTCGCAGCAGGCAGGGCAATCAAGAACAATCTGGCGTGCCTCTTTTCTAGTAATCCCAAATCGAAGTCTAAGGGTCTGGGCTGAAACATGAAACTGTGAATGGAATTGGCGGGCCTTCTCCTCTGAGGACGGTGGAGACACGAGCATCATCATAACCTGAGTCCTGGTGGCGGCGTCTGCAAGAGCATTTCCTCTAGTTAGTGGTCCCGGTAGACCTGAATGGGCTCGAATATGGGTTATATAAAAGGGGTGGTTCCTATGCCAAATGGCCTGTTGAATTTGTTTAAAAAGATCTGCCACCGGGCCGGACCCTGAAATAGAGCATAGAGCCAGCGGCCTCCAAAACATTCACCGCATTCACCACATATAGGGAATCAGAAACAATATTTAAAGGCTCTAAAAAGGTTTGTAAAGCAAAAAGCACCATGTGACATTCCACTCTCTGAGGAGAGGCCGTTGGAAAGGACTTAGTTATTACCCTCTCTTCGACAACCAGGGCTCCAGCTCCTGTTGAGGAGCCGTCAGTAAAAACTGTCAAAGCACCAGAGAGAGGATGAGAGCTGGTTTTCTCTGGAAAAACCATAGGATGTCGCTGTAAAAATTGTAATAATGGGTGTCTTGGAAGATGATTATCAAAAACTCCCTGATAAATAAACATTAAAATGGACCACTCATTATTGCATGCACTCAAAATTTGTAACTGTTGAACAGTATAGGGAACTACTACGCGGTCTGGATAGCGCCCAAAATGACACAAAGCTAACTTTAACCCTTTAAGTACTATGGACGCGACCGCAGATGGATACCATTGAATAGATTTAATCTGAGAAACCTGAGAATGGACCCAAAGTAATGGGCCTTGTTGCCATAGCACAGCAGTGGGAAAAACCTCTGTAGCTAACACACATAATTCAAAAGGCTGATCTTGATCTAGCCGAACTAATTGAGCCTTCTCTATGGCCTCTTGAACTTTCACTAAGACCTGTTGTGCTTCAGGGGTAAGTGTACGTCGGGAGGCAAGATCAGAATCGCCTTCAAGTAAGGCGAACAGGGGCTTTAATTCCTGAGAAGAAATCTTAAGAAAGGGTCGTAACCAATTAATATCCCCCGCTAATTTTTGAAAATCATTCAGTGTTCGCAAATGAGAAATTTTAAGACTTATCTTTTGAGGCCTGACATATGTTTCTGTGATTAAAGATCCTAAGAAGGCTTTTACCTGTTGCATTTGAACCTTCTCGGCTGAAACTATAAGGCCATAATTCTGTAGAGCCCGCTTCAAATCAACATAAATTTGTAATAACTGGTCTTGGTTTTGGGCACAAATTAGAATATCATCCATATAGTGGACAATACGAGCTGTTGGAAACCGGTCTCGTACCGGCTGTAACACTTGGGCAACATAAAGTTGGCACATGGTGGGGCTATTAGCCATTCCCTGGGGCAATACTTTCCATTGATAGCGCTTATCCGGCTCTTCATGATTAACAGAAGGAATAGTAAAAGCAAACCTCTCCCTATCTTGCAATGCTAATGGTATAGAAAAAAAGCAATCCTTTAAATCAATTACTAATAACGGCCAATATTTAGGGAGGGACGACAAAACTGGGAGGCCCCGTTGAACGGGACCAAAACATTGCATCTGTGCATTCACAGCTCTTAAATCATGCAAAAGACGCCACTTTCCTGATTTCTTTTTAATAACAAAAATAGGAGTATTCCAAGGAGAAACAGAGGGCTCTAAATGTCCCAAATGTAATTGTTCCTGGACTAATTGTTGAGCAGCTTGGCATTTCTCAGAGGATAGCGGCCATTGGGGAACCCAAACCGGTTCGACTGTTTTCTACGGTATGGGCAGCTGCATACCAATGGCTGCTATTAAAAACCCAGGGGGGTGCTGAAGGCGCCGTAGACGGAGGGACGGTCACTAAAGGCGCCACGGATGGGGGGGAAAGCGTCGCCGTGACCCTCTCCCCCTTCTTTCTTCTCTGCCTGTTTCTTTCTAGTTTACTTCCTCTCTTGGTGTCTGACGTCTCAGAATCCGAGGAGGAGGAGGAGGCTACTTTTAGTTTCTCTAGTTCCGCTGCTGGGTAAAGGGAACGTTTTTCTTCTGAGTTAACTCTCTCTGGACTCTCACCTTTTTCTTTAACTTTGGTACCAATTCTTTCTCCCCGCTCTGTTTCTGAGAGGCTATCTTGGGCTAATTGAAGGCAATCTCGACCCTGAGTCACAGCTTCTTTGCACCGGTCATCTTCTAAGCATGCACGAATTAATCTCCATAGTGGCATAACTCCCGGACTCAAACGGTCACGCTCCTTAGCCCTCTGTAAATCTTTACCGAGTTTCTCCCAGGACCGCGGAGTTAGTGATCCGGAAACCACATACCAGGGCGCATGACGGTCTACTTCTTTGATAAAGCCCTCTAGTGTACGTTCACTAACCTTTAATTTACGTGCTTTCAAAAGTGCCTGTAAAGGCTTAATCAAGGAAGTCTGTGCTCCCATATCTCAGGGTTAAATTTCTCAAGCCCAGTAACGCCTCCCTCTCAGAGCTCCTTACTTTTTATGGCTGCGGTTCTGACTTCGTCCCGTCCAGGACGGGAGGCTCCTCTGGGTCCGAAGAATTCCCGGGTTTCGGCACCAACTGTCGCGCCCACCGACCACCGACCCGCAGTGATGAGCAGACACGATTGAAGCCTTCCGCAGCAGTCTTTATTGTGCACACCAAGATTGAGAAAGAGGAAGCCCCGACCCACCTTTTGCTCTCACTATTATAGAAGGCAGCTCCGCCCTACCGGCTGTTCATAGGCCAGCCTTCTGATGATGTATTGATCATGCCTCTGGAGAGACTTACGGATAGGGCAAGGGCTTAGTCCACGCGCCGATCACGGGCCTGCCCATGTGCTGTATTACTGCGCCTGCGCAGGCGTCTGCGCAATTCAGCCAGGGGTGCGTGACTAACGTCACTACTGCTGACGTGCTCTCTCCCGCCAGGCGCCATCTTAAGGCCTCGCTGGACTTGAGCCAAAGGCAGGTCAAGTACAGGTCAAGTACAAGGCTCACAGCGGCTCACCACACCGGGAGAGCAGTCGAGGATGGCCCAAAGCTTTGGGACCCTGCACCCGCGTGGGAGACCCAGAAGAGGCTCCTGGCTTCGGATCGGCATAGTATCGGCCGTGGCGCTCACTTGGGGAGTGAATCATCGGATGGAAGATCTTCCTCTCTGTCTCTCCTCTCTGTATATCCGCCTTTCCAATAATAAATAAATAAATGAATAAATGAATAAATAAATAAATAAATATTTAGGGCCTGGCGGCATGGCCTAGCAGCTAAAGTCCTCGCCTTGAACGCACCAGGATCCCATATGGGCACCAGTTCATGTCCCGGTAGCTCCACCTCCCATCCAGCTCCCTGCTTGTGGCCTGGGAAAACAGTCGAGGACGGCCCAAGGCCTTGGGACTCTGCACCACGTGGGAGACCTGGAAGAGGTTCCTGGATCCTGGCTTCGGATCGGCATAGCACTGGCCGTTGCAGTCACTTTGGGAGTGAATCATCTGACGGAAGATCTTCCTCTCTGTCACTCCTCCTCTCTGTATATCTGACTTTCCATCAAAAATAAAATAAATCTGTAAAAAAAATTTTTTAAATAAATCTTAAAAAAAAAAAGAAAGAAAAAGGAAGGTTACCAATTGATTTCAATTTTTTGGCCTTGGCCTGGCCCAGCCGCAGTCACTGTGGGTATCTGGGGTGTACACCAGTCGATGGTTTCCAAGTAAGTACAAATTTAAAAATCAATTGATTAATAAATGTTGTCATTTTTTTCATAAATTCAGGGCTTCCTTTCCAGGAAATAAAATATTCTTGCATAAATTTCATCATGCATAGTCCTGCATGATGAAGTAACAAAAAACAAGTTACCTTGTCAGTTTCTATATGATCTCTAATTTTCATTCATTCATGTTTAAAATGTGGACTATTACTTTATTTACACTTAAAAAGACATGACTTGGAAAGAGGCTAAAGGTTCAAAGAAATGATGACTCCCTGTTCTGCTGACTGAAAAGGACAAGAAATGCCCATCAGTGAGCAGCAACGCGTACCAGGCAGGATCCAGGGTGAATGGTGGGGGTCAACAGGGCTGGCCATGAAGGCATAATTATTTCAAGTTAGATGATGGGTATGTGAAAAAATAATCATACTATTCTCTACTTTTAAATATATTTGAGAATTTCTGGGGCCAGCACTGTGGCATAATAGGCTAAGTTTCTGCCTGTGGCATTGGTATCCCATATGGATATCAGTTTGTGTCCTGGCTATTCCACTTTTGATCCAGCTCTCTGCTAATGTGTGGAAAGGCAGTGCAAAATGGTCCAAGTCCTTGAGCTCTGCATCCAGTTGGGAGGCCTGGAGGCCCCCAGCTCCTAGATTCAAATCAGCTCAGCTTGGCTGTTGTAGCCATTTCGGGAGTAGACCAGCAGATGGAAGACTTCTCTCTCTGTCTTTCCTTCTCTCTTAACTCTGCCTTTCAAATAAAAATAAATTCAATCTTAAAAAATAATAAGTACTAGGACCAATGGTTGCTGCGAACACCACTATACATAGGTATTAAATGAGGACGACCATTAAACAAAAACCAAAACAATAAAAATAACGTTCATTTCATTAAAACATTGCATGAGCTGGGGCCCAGCGCAGTGGCCTAGTGGCTAAAGTCCTTGCCTTGAACACCCGGGATCCCATATGGACGCCGGTTCTAATCCTAGCAGCTCCACTTCCCATCCAGCTCCCTGATTGTGGCCTGGGAAAGTGGTCGAGGACAGCCCAAAGCTTTGGGACCCTGCACCTGCGCGGGACACCCGGAAAAGGTTCCTGGTTCCCAGCTTCGGATCGGCATAGCACCAGCCGTTGTGCTCACTTGGGGAGTGAATCATCGGACGGAAGATCTTCCTCTCTGTCTCTCCTCCTCTCTGTATATCTGACTTTGTAATAAAAATAAATAAATCTTTAAAAAAAAAATTGCATGAGCCAAATGAGGAAAGAGGGATTTTTTTTTTTTTTGTCTATCTGTGGTTTAATGCCACCTTCTCACTAAGTTTTTCTGAGTTTCTCACATCCCCACTGTCTGCCCCCATCATCACAGATCCTCAGTGAGAAGGCTGTCCGGACACCAAACATACATTGCACAATTCATCCTTCATTTCTATTTCCACATCTCACTGGTGAGCAACTAACAGTACAAAGGCACACAGGCACGTGGGCATTCACGAGGCAAATCGCATGTGGGGACGTGTGTTGCTGCTGCCTATGTGTTAACTCTGTAATGCACGATATATAAACTGAACAATGCAAACTGAACAACAGAAAAGAGACAAACACATTGCTAACCTGCACTTAAGAGCGTCAAGCTACATAGCACCATTTCCAAGGCTGGTAGTGTCCTTTCTAACTTATCCAGAATTGGGATCTTACGAAGTTGAGTATGTTGAGAATCACTTTCCTACAGCAAATGTCTATTTAACATTTTTGAATTTTGCAGTGAAAATTTTGGCAAGGTAGAAGCATATGTTAGGTGATTTGTGAGGCAACAAATTGGTGGCAAAGGCTCAAAGTGAAAAATGAAACGAGGTTTATTTAGATTTTTAAAAATATATATATAAATAACAAAATAACTGTGAAAACTGAAACAAAAACTGGTGTTATGTGATTAACCACTTCCAAGCACATTTAACTGTTAATATAAAAAATAAACTCTATCATTTTTACTTGCCTTTTCTCCAGCTTTGACTACAGGAATGTTTTTGGAAGCCTGAGGTCCTAGGAAAATTTCACAGCTATGAGGGTTACAGCCCATTCCCATGGGGAAAGACATTTTCTAATCTTGGGAGTTCTTAACAACTAGAACCCTCGGACCTCTCGTTAGGATCGTCACATGCGGCCAGTGCAGCCATCGCACATTCAAACACATTCCAACTCCAGTACGAGCAGTCTTCAGGCCTCTTCTGGCAGCCTGGCCTTGCAGTCACTGCTATCTTCCTAACAAGTAGCCTCCTGAGCTGCGGCGACACTGTGATTAGCAAAGCCAAAGTCACAGCATGTCGGACCTTTCCTCCTAGATGTGAGATGGTTGCTGGGGAGTGGGAGGATTTGCATCAAGCTCTTGTTCACGCTCAGGGTTGGTGGAAGGGCTGCCACCTGGCAGACACGTGGGCTCAGTGCTGGAGTGAACTGAGTGTACTTACCCAACACCACACAAGGAAGTTCGAGTAAATTAACAAGTCCCTCTGAACCAAGCCCCTCAAAACAGAGGCAAATTTGGTGAGACAAGCTCACTGCTGAGGCCATGACCTTGGTTCACCTGGTCCTTTCCTGAAGAACCATGTCCATTTCCTGATTCAAGAGGCACCTCTGGCAAGGACAGAGCACAGAGGGGAAACTGAACTTCATGTAAGGCCATGCCACGTGGGATTCAGAAGTTGCAGCTGAGTCTACGGCATAAGAAGATGGCAAGCTTAGTAAGCATCCAGAGCTGGAATGAGCCAGGGCTGGACCACACTCCTGGAGCATCTTGACTAGGGCAGCTTAACGGCTGTTGCCCAGATGTCGTTGCTGGGGAGCGGGGGCAGGACCCATCCTTGGGGAACAGAGTGGCCTTTGGGATGGTCGGACGGCACCAAGTACTGATCCCAATCGTGCCTGAACAAGAACATTGTACAACAACTGTTTATTTCTGGCTCATACCAAGCAAGGTGTTTAGCAATTAATTCTGTTTCTGGGACTTAGCTTTCAAATCACTGATACACAAATCTGTCACAGAACTTGGCTTCTAGGAATTAGGCAAAAGAGCACTATTCCTTAACTGTACTCATATAACTGGAGAAAAATGTAAAGAACCGCTAGCTAGCACTGTGGATAACCAAATATGAATATAAACATGACTCTCACTATTGCTAGATTCTGCAGCTTTGCCTGCTCACTGGAATGTGTTAGTGCCCACAAGATTACCCCTCCAGGCTCTTTCATAGATACCTGCAGACATACACACACAGTGGCAACAAATCCGAGTCATCAACATGCAATCTGTCCCACCCGAGATCACAACAAGGTCATATTTGCACTTATTTTCAGCACTTAGGACAAGGCTGTGATGTGCCTTGTGGAGAAACTGTTATGGAAGTTTCAATCAGGCATGAGTTGTAGCGCCATTAACAAGTTCCATGTTCATCAGTCAACAATACGCATTCGTTATATGTCTTTACCAGAAACACACATAAAATAAGGCATTGATTGGAGGAGAATGACACACTGTCAGATTTTCAGAGGGGATCTCGGAGATCACCTAGTTCGGTGACTTTCAGACCATAAGCCTCAAGGCAGATGTTCTGGGGGAGGTCTGAAAACAACAAAGTGCTTCCTGGCAATGCCAATCCATTTACCTTACATGGCGATTTATCAAAAGACAGCTGAGTTTGAGGGCCATATTCTAGCTCACTGCCTTCATTTCATAACTAAGTGAGACCCTGAAGACCTTACCCAGCTCATCAGTAGCTGTAGATTTCAGTAAGATACCTGGCTCCTAGCTCTCTAGGCCTTGGCTTATTGGGAGCTCGATGCCCGCCTGGGTCTTAAGCAGTCTCTACAAACAAGAACACAGGCTCTTTCTTCCTGTTAGGCACCAGAAGAGAATTGGGAAAGCCAGCCCATGCTTTAAATCAGCATTAATAGCTACACAAAATGGCAAGTTGCCACTTGAATTTCAGGTCCTTCAACTGTTAAAATAGGAGCATTACTGCTAGTGATACATGAGGACTAAAGAAAGACATGGGTCTGGCATTCTTGAAAATTGGAACCACAAACCCATAAGCAAGAAGACACAGTAGGGCCAGGCATGGTGGCCTAGTAAAAGTCCTCTCCTTGTAGGCGCCTGGATCCCATATGGGCACCAGTTCTAATCCAGGAGGCCCCGCCTCCCATCCAACTCTCTGCTTGTGGCCGAGAAAAGCAGTTGAGGATGGCCCAAAGCCTTGGGACCCTGCACCCTTGTGGGAGACCCGGAAAAAGCTCCGGGCTCCTGGCTTCAGATCAGCTCAGCTCTGGCTGTTGCAGCCACTTAGGAAGTGAATCATCGGACATCATCGGATGGAAGCTCTTCCACTCTGTCTCTCCTTTTCTTTCTGTATATCTGACTTTCCAATAAAAGTAAATAAAAAGTCTAAAAGAAAAAGATACAGTGGTGGACCCCACCGACACAAATGCTTTATCAAGTTGAGAACTCAGAGGACGACACCGCGGAGCTTGCCCTGACCTGATCCGGATGAGAGCCGGGAGGGAGTGCTCAGCCTGGAGGTAATATTGTCGGAAAGGCTGCAGCAGGTGAGCCAGCGGGAACTCGTCTGGAAGGAAAAAGGCACAGTGCATCATCATCAGAAAAGGCGCCTCTGGGGTCTGCTTCTCAAGGTGAGCTGACGGGGCCTACAAGTGTCACGGTGTGATCCAGTGTATCTCTTCTGTACCTCTGATTCCACAACAGGGCCCAGAAGCTCAAGTCCGGAAGGTGTCACCTATCGCTACTTCTTTTGCACTAATTTGAAATCACCAACGATGAAACAGCTGTGAACCTAGTCTCCTTCTCTCCACTGGCTACAAGGGAAACTTACCCGGATCCCCAAACAACTTGGACTCAATTTCACGTCTTTGAAGCAAAATCTTCTCTTTTTCTTTCCTTTGTTTCTTTTCCAATTCTCTTTTCCTCTCTTCTTCTTGCTCTCCCTCCAGCATAACTCTGAGGGCTCTCTCTTCAGCCTCATAGAGCTCAGAGCGTTTCTTGATGAGTTTTCTCAGGCGCTGAAGATGATGTTCAAAAGCCTCATCTGCTGAGGCTGGCGGGCACACTCCTGGGCAAAAAGAACAAAAACACATTCTTTCTTGTTTAAATTTTTTATTGGAAAGACAGATATGGCAGGGAGAAGGAAAGACAGACACAAAAATCCACTGGTTCAGTCCCCAAGTGGCCACAATGGTCACAGCTGAGCTGATCCAAAGCCAGGAGCCAGGAGCCTCTTCCAGGTCTCCTGAGGCTTTGGGTCGTCCTCTACTGCTTTCCCAGGCCACAAGTAGGAAGTTGAAAGGGAAATGGAACAGACTGGATATAAACCAGCACCCATATGGGATCCTGGTGCATGCAAGGCAAGGACTTTACCCACCAGGCTATTGCACTGGGCCCTATTTATTTTTAAAAACTTATTTCTTATTTATTTGAAAGACACAGAGACAGAGGCTGAGCCAGAAATAACTTCTGTGAGCTGGAGTCTCGTCTGGGAGTCAGTTTCCCATCTAGGTGGCAGGAACTCAAGTACCTGAATTATCCTCTGTTGCGTCCCAGGCACATTAGCAGGAAGCTGCATCAGAGCAGGTAGGGCCTGAACCAGGCACTTCAATATGGTATATACATTCCAAGCAGCAGCTTAACCCATGCTACCATGACATTGCCCCTCAAACAGCATTTTAGATGCCAACTTTTTCTAGTCCCCAAATCCATGTACTAATGAACAGCCTCAAATTCCAATCTACAATATAAATTTGCTTAGAATTTGAAGATTTTTCGAAGTTCTATCTTCAAAGGTTCAGTTTCATCTTTTTCAGTCTCCAATTGCTCTGACTGTACCCTGATTACTTTCTCCAATTCCTCCCTCTGGATCATGCCACTTAACTTTTGGTTTTTACTATTTCTACCGGTTTTGACCTTCCAATTGGGATAATGAGAAGTCTTAATCTTCATTGTTCATGGGGTTCTTTTACTGTCAACTCTCAATTCTATCTGTTGAGAGCACATTTAAAAGGTGAGAAAAAAGGCACACCTAACTGATCTCATGGTCTGTGCCAACTATGGAGTGACCAGCTGTTTGGGTTTACCTGCTGTTAGTGCTGAAAACCTCACATCCCGGAAAACCTCTCCTCCAGTAACAACTGGGATCATTGTCAACCGGACATAACTACGGGATCAGTGCAGTCAATACAGCTAATGCCACAACCAGGGACTTATGGTTACAGACTGGATACTAGGTGACATTAAAGAATTACTAGCAATACTTTTAGCATTATAAAGTCATCATAGTTGATGACAGGCAGTTAGGTGTTCTATGCACATGTGTAAAATTTTCCATAAGAAACAAATTTTAAGAATCCTAGAGTAGATCGAAGTTGTGTGCTCACTATTATAATCTCTTAATTCCATTTACTCAGAACTTAAAAAAAAATTCTAAAGATGTGTTTATTTGAAAAGCAGAGTTATATAGAGAAAGAGAGAGAGGTCTTCCATCTGCTGATTCACTCCCCATGTGGCTACAGGGTCAGGCTGGTCCAGGCTGAAACCAGAAGCCAAGAGCTCCATCTACTCTTCCATGTGGTTGGCAGGGTTCTGCCACCTTCCCAGGTGCATTAGCAGGGAGTTGGATCAGAAGTGGAGTTCAAATTCATCTACTAAGTTGCCAGAATAATATTTCCCAAGTTAAAATCCTATGCACTGAGAAATTTAAGCTGTCACCATGATGTTCTGCAATAATTTCATAGCTTCTTTAATTTTTCTTGAAAGGTCAGAGACTAAATGTTAAAAGCTTTGGAGCTGGCATGGTAGTGTAGCCAGCCAATCCTTTACTTTCAGTTCTGGTGTTCCATGTAAGTGCCAGATCATGTCTTGGTGACTCCACTTCCCATCTAGTTTCCTGGCTTATGGCCTAGGGGTTAGTGGAGATTGCCTTGGGACCAGGTACCCAAATAGGGGAAGCAGAAGAAGCTCCTGGCATAGATAAGCTAAGCTCTGGCCACTGCAGCCACTTGGGAAGTGGACTGTCTTGCATTCTCTGTGTAAATCTGGAAGATTAGCCAGATGAGTCGATGCACCAGCCCCTCATACTCTGTTTATTCGCATTATATATATATATCTGTATATATATATATATCTAATTTTAATTACATACAATTAAAAATATATATTTAAAAGATGTATTTCTTTATTTGAAAGACAGAGGTACACAAGAAGATCTTCCATCTGCTGGTTCATTCTACAATGGCCAGAGCTGTGCTGATTTGAAGCCTGGAGCTTCTTCCAGGTCTCCCACATGTGTGCAGGAGTCCAAACACCTGGGCATCCTTCACAGCTTTCCCAGGTTCATTAGCAAGGGGCTGGACTGGTGGAACAGCCAAGACTCAAACCAGTGCCACAGGCAGTGGCTTTACTTGCAATACCACAGTGCTGGCCCTTTATTATTTTTAAATTTATTTACTGCTTCCAACTCACTTCCATACTATCCACCTTTGTCCAGTCAACAGTTTTTCCTGTCTCTTTCCCTCTTAGATGTTTTCAACCTCTCTCAGCTCTGGCACTGAACTCTGTCTTAAGATCTTTGAGTAGGGCCCTACGTAGCCTAGTGGCTAAAGTCCTCTCCTTGCATGCACCAGAATCCCATATGGGTGTTGGTTTATATCCAGTCTCCTCCACTTCCCATCCAGCTCCTTGCCTGTGACCTGGGAAAGCAGTAGAGGACGGCCCAGAACCTTGGGACCCTGCACCCTCCTGTGGGAGACCTCAAATAAGCTCCTGGCTTTGGATTGGCTCAGCTCTGGTCACTGCGGCTATTTGGGGACTGAACCAACAGATGGAGGATCATTGTCTTTCCTCTCTGTAAATCTGAATTTCCAATAAAAAAAAAAGTTAGAATAAAACTTAAAATTAACCACATGTTTAAGTCAGGTTAGAATCCCAGGCCGTGAGGCAGCCCTGCTCAGAGGACCAGCTTCATCTACCAGCATTTCCTCGAGGGGGTCTGCACATCGTGTGGACAGGCGCTAGAAAAGTGCTCCATCTCTACTGTAAGAACACAGTGCTGGTTAGCAAATCATTTCCTATTTGAGTCTGTTCACTCCCCAGAGGTCTATTCTTCTGATAGCTCATAATTCTTTCTTCCTGGACCAAAGTGAGAAAGGCAGATATTGAAAAACTTTGTTGGTTAATTCGCTTGGTTAGAGTTTACCGAGTCCCCGCCTCATGGGAGATCTGGGGCAGGGAGATATTCAACAGCAGCTTGTAGGCTTTGCTTTCTAGCAAAGAAGAGAAATGGTTGGGTGACACGGCAGATGCTATCTTTCCTCTGACCCCCAAGTCTCCTGGAGACAAAGGAATCATCTAACTCCGAGAGCCAGAGGGGAACTGACCACTCTGAAAGCTGTCATACCGCTTAGACGGTGAGCAAGTCACATTGGATGCACAGGGGTCCCACCCCAACACAACCTACTTGGGGTCTAAGGAAGCTGTGGTTTTTGTTCCTATGAGGGTACTTCAAAATGCCTACACTAAATGAATTTCACAGTTTATTGTGAGGGAAGGTACGTAACACAGTGATTAAATTGCTGCTTGGGAAGCCCACATTCTGTACTGGGTGCCTGGTTCAAGTCCTGGCTACTTTGCTTCTGATTCAGCTTCCTGCTAATGTGCAACCAAGGGGGCAGCAGATGACTGTTGAAGTAACTTGAGACCCTGAAATCGAGGTGGGCGACCAGGACTGAGTTCCTGCCTTCTGACTTCAGTCTGGCTTAGCCCCGTGGGTCACAGGCATTTGAAGACTGAGCCAGCCATGGAAGAACTCTTTCCACATGCTTCTTTCTCATTCTCCCCCTGTGCCTCTCAAACAAAAATGAAAATAAATAAAGAGCTTGGAAAGTTAATTTTGCTACAAAAAATTGAAAAACTCACATATACAAGAGGTTTCAAAATGTTCACGAGAATGATTATTTAAAAATAGGTATTGATCTCAATTTCTGCATAAAATAAAACTTACCTTGGGCCCAACACTATAGCATAGTGGTTAAAGTCCTTATCTTGAATGCGCCGGGATCCCATATGGGTGCCGGTTCTAATCCCTGTGGCCCTGCTTCCCATCCAGCTCCCTGCTTGTGACCTGGGAAAGCAGTTGATAACGGCCCAAAGCCTTGGGACCCTGCATACATATGGGAGATCCGGAAGAAGCTCCTGGCTTCGGATTGGCTCAGCTCCAGCTGTTGCGGCCACCATAAGATGGAAGATCTTCCCCTCTGTCTCTCCTCCTCTCTGTATATCTTTGATAAAAATTTATTTATTTAAATAAAGATTTATTTTTGATAAAAATAAATCTTAAAAAAAAATACAACTTATCTTAATTCCTTTCTTCCACTATCATTTTGAGGTACCCTCACATTTTAACAAAGGAAACCATCTGCAACAACAGTCCCTACTAATCTGTATACTTTGAAATATCCCTGGCCTACAAACTACTAAGTAAGGCAGCCCGGTCCAATCCAAGTGCACATGAAGTCAGGGGTCACTGCAGCCCGGTCAAGGCAGGCACATCAGTACTTATCGCATCAGTGTTCGGTTTTGAAGCACAGGGAGATCTTCAAATGGTGAAGACGGGGTCAACGCCTTTGTAGACAAATGGGCCAGTAAGAACACATATCCAGACACACAAATGGAAGGCACCGACGGCATTCCTAGGACAACCTTTGCTGAAGGTACTTGGATTGCTTGGCACTCCCTCCAGAGGCAAAAGACACACCTTTTGGGGCACCAAATAAGGGCAGGACAGCTTTCATCTTGGCAGACACGTCCCAGCCATGACAAGCCCATTCTGAAAAGTGTAGCCAGCAATACCTGGGGTAGGAAGACTGAGTCATGGGATTGCCACGCCCATCTCAGTTTTCAACCTTGGCTTCCCAGGGCTCAAGAGCCTGTGAGGCTTTCTGCTCCCAAGGTTCTGAAGCTATAGCTAACAAGCCTAGTGACTCTTCCAAAAACTATTTTGGGTGAGAAGCCAGAAGTGTTAAAAAAAAAAAAAAAAAAAGCAAAGTCCTGGTTACCTTTCCTGGCTGCGGCCTCCTTCCTCAGTTTCCTCAGCTTTTCCAAAGCCCGGAGAATATCCACCATCCTCTTGGTGTCTGCTTGTTTCTTCCTCACTTCAGATAAGACGCCATCAGCAGCAGCTTTGAGTTCCTGCTCCTGTGGGAGGAATGGTGCCATGAGACCCAGGGCCAGGAACATCCCAGTAGGTAAGATGTGGCATGATCCCGCAGTCCCCGGGCTCAAGACTGCTGAACCATTTCCTAGGCCTGATCCAACTTCCCTCTACAGCGTACCCCGACCACCACTGCAAACATCTAAAGACCACTATTCTATTCTTCCCAAATTGGTTCCCCTGCGAGTTAAACCACCCCAGTTCCCTGAGCCATTCCTCAGGCTCTGATATACAGTGGACAGCTGGAAGGACACAATGGCCTAGTGCTTGCCTGCAGTCAACAAGTGCCCTGTTGAGCAAATCACTGCCAACTCCAACCAGGCTACTTTGCTCCTTGCCTGCAGCTGCACCTGTTGCTTTCATCTGGCTCTGACCTTCCATTCCAGGATCATCTCAGATTTCATTACCTTATCTAGAAAGCCTCCCCTAAGCAATAAACACCCTGGGCTCCTGCAGCATCCCTCACCATGCTGTACTGACATGTTCCCTCAAGGGGGTTCTGTCCCATTCCTATTCACATTGACATCTGTCCTGCAGCTGGCATAGCACAGACCCTCCTTCACTGCCTGCCGAACAGTCACTGCCCATGGTGCATTTCACAGTGAGCTCACCCCACGGAAGGTGAAGACTGGAGGCATGGGAGCTGGGAACCCCAAAGGCACTTGAAGGTTGTGAAATATGCTAAGCAACTATTTGACTGATTTCCAGTTTAAGGTCTTCAGAGCAACAGACTTGGTAATCAGGCCACCTGGGCTCGGATCTGGGGTAGAAATGGTCATAACCCCGTTGCATGACCGCTGACAAGTGAACCTCTCTCTGCCTCGGATTCCTACCTGTAAAACTGGGTTAATTCCCCCTATCCCTCAGGGCTGTGAGAGTCAAGATCTGGTGTCTTCTAACATACAAACACATGCTCACAGTGAACCTGGTGACATACCATTTACCAGTTGTAAACTTGGGGAAGTCATTAGTGACCCAGCGGTCCATGAGGACGGGATGTGCCTTGCGGTAAAGCCCCAAGTTCTCTGTATTTTATTTGTCCTGCAAGTCATCGAGGGACAGTCCCGGACCCATGGTCTTGAACGCTAGCAAGTGTGGAGAAGTTGGAGCTTGGGACAGGTGAGATACCACGGTGTCATCACATACCTTGTGTTCACAGGACTATGTAAATTTTATGTACTACACATCAGGGACACAGATGTATAAGGTGGAATGAGGCGGGAGGACTATCTTTTACTTTACGGTTCAAGAATGAGGGTTTAGGCCGAAGAAAAACAGCAACTTTTGAGCCTCAGGCTGCTTCAGGTTTCACCACCCAGTTAACCCCGCGCGTGTCTGCAGCTCTCTCACCCGCTTCTTCTCTTCCACCTCCTGCACGCACTTGACTCTCCAGCGATCAATCTCCTGCTCGCGTTCCGCTGCTCGGGCGGCCTCGGCCTCCCGCTCGGCCTCGCGCTCCCGGGTCTTCTCGCGAAGCCGCAGCCGGCGGCGCCTCACCCTCTCCAGCCTCCGCAGCGCCTCACCCACGTAGGCGGGCTGGGTCAGCGGTTGCAGCTGCTCGGTTAGCTGGGCGCGCAGGGGCGCGGCCTGGACGTGCAGCAGGGCCCAGGCTGAGCCGTCGGCTTCGGCCTCGCGCAGGGCTTGCCCCAGCTCCCGCAGCCGCCGCACCAGGCGCAGAGCCCCGCGCAACCTCCCGCGCACTTCGCCGAGGCTGGGGCCGGGGGCCGAGCGTTGGGGCAGCGGGCAGCTGGTCCGCCGCGGGGTCCCGAACACCGCCTCGAGCCACTGCCGGTCGCGCAGACGCTGCAGCACCACGTCCCCGAGCACGTCGGGCGGCGGCGGCGCCTCGGGCCAGCGCAGGCTCCAGGGCGGCCCCGGACCTGCTGCCGGTGGCCCCGGCCGCTCGCTGGCCTCGGTGCCCGCGAAGGGCCGGCACTGGGACGGCGGCGGCGGGAGCGGCGGCGGTGGCACCGGGTAGAAGGCACCACTGCCGCCGCTGCTGCTGCCGCCGCCGCCACTGCGGGAGATGTCCCCGGGACCCCGGGGCTGCAAAGCCAGGGGAGGCTGGAGGAAAGGGGCAGAGGCTCCCGGAAAAGGGCCGGGCCGCTGGGGCAGAGGCGGCGGGAAAGCCGGGGAAGGCAGCGGCGGTGGCGGGCAGCCGAACGGCGCAGGAGGCGGCTGCTGCGGAGGAGGCGGGCCCGGGCGGCCCGGGGCGAAGAAGGGCGGCAGGGCCATGCTGGCCACGGAGATGCTCAAGTGACAGGAGTTGTTTCCAGGGTGAGTCTTCCGGGCGGAAGTGACGTCCTCGGACGCGCGACGCCGGCGCGCCGAGTTCCCCCGGAAAGTCTGGCAAGGGGGTGGTCTTCGTTCCGCCTTCTAGCTTTTGGTTTGTAATTACTGTCGGTATTGAGCGTGGTTCCAGAAGCGCTCCCCACAGTGAGACCGAGCTGTTCGTCTTCTGTGGACTAGTAATGAAGAACCTTAGTTAAGTCCCTCCATCTTGGATGGGGCGCCATTTTGTCAGTTACGTGAATTTGTTTCGATTAATAAAAACCCTGCGCCGTTCTGCCTCGGGGCTCACAATCCTGAACCGATCGCTTCGTCGGGGACGACTGGGGCCCAGGCTCGCGCCTGAATAAACTGCCCTCGTGCGCTTGCATCGGACTCGGCCTCCTCTGCTGGTCTGGGGAACTTTGAGATCTGGGCATAACGTTTGCGGATGCTGGTTACCACGGTAACCGGAGGAGGGCGGAGTTTGCTTCCAACCCGGAACTGACGGCGGAATTCTGGCGGGCCGCTTGTGCTGTGAAACCACCGTTGCACCCAAGAGGGACACGAACCCACCCGCACCAAATAGAGGTCGAGGCGACCCCCGTCTCGGCTTCCGTGTCAAGGGGAGTTGAAAAAGTGCTGCACGTGTCTCCCTGGCTCTTGTTCCTCTGTAGCCGTCTCCCTCGCGTTCCTGCTACGCGGGGAAGGGAAGCCCGTGACCGCGGTTCCTTGGAATAAAGGCCATCTAACTTCCTTTTACGAATTCGGCCGAGTTATTCTTTCCCTGGTGGTCAGCGAATCTAACGGGCTCGTCTGGAATCCCCAAGGTCTCCAGGACCTCCAACCCTAAGGGCAGCAGTGGTGAGTCTTTCCTTTTGTTTTTGGTTTGTTGTGCTTTTGGAATTAAAAGACTAAGGGTCAAGGGGGATGCGCTGGGGGCTCATCAGTCAGGGGTCCCAGGAACCGTCCTGGTTCCACTTCTTTGACAAGGGAAGTTAAAGGCCTGAAATAGGGTCCTCTCTGAGTATTGGAGAGAATTAGAAGATCTGAAATAGGATCCTTTCTTCATTTTGGTTTTTCTCTTGAAAAATTGGTGTTTGTTTTTGAGTGTGTGTGCTTGCCTGACGACGATATGGGACAGATATTGACTAATCCCCTTTTCCTTTTTTACCAATAATTTTAAGAAAGTAAAGGCCAGGGCACATAATTTGAGTTTAGATATTAAAAAGGCAAGTTAATTTTTGTTCAACAGCGTGGCCCACGTTTAATGTAGGCTGGCCACCGAAGGCACATTTGATTTGTTTACTGTACAAGCTGATCTTATTCGCCCCCCGAACGGGACACCCTGATCAGGCGGCCTGCATAGTCATCTGGGAAGATTTAGTTAAGAATCCACCCGTAACGGTAAAGCCATTTTTGCCTCCACAAAAATAACTCCCAAAGTCTGTGCTAGCGGTTGGAGAACACCAAGTGACAAAGTTAAACCAAACCCTCAGCGCCCTCTTACCCGATCCTCCAAGGGCAAGGTAGATGAAGAATTGATTTTCCTTCCCCTCTATCAGTTCTCTACTCTAGCCAGCCCAGCACTCAGATTTGGCCAGTAGAGTGGAGGGGCTGGCAGTGAGCCCCTAGAGCAGGGCACAGCAATCGGCATGGACATCTCCAGGACTGGTTGATTAAACCGTTAGGACCCCCTGATGGGGCAGGGAATTAGCTCCATTACTGCTGGCCCTTTGCTACCAGAGACTTGCACAATTGGAAAATGCCAAGTTTCTGATAATCCTAGGGAATTGATTGACCTTTTAGATTCTCTTTTGCTTACCCATTTGCCAACCTGGGACGACTGTCAGCAGCTCCTACAGAAACTACTTACTACCAGAGTGTGTGAAAGGATCCAGGCAGAGGCTCGAACACTGGTCCAGCCTAATGGAGAACCCACTGCTAACCAGATGTCATTAATGAATCTTTTCCTCTTTCTCACCTGACATGGGATTTCAACACGGCTGAAGGTAAGGAGAGACTCCTGGTCTTTCGCCAGACTCTGTTGGGGGGGTCTCAAAGTGGCTGCTCGCAAGCCCACTAATTTGGCCAAGGTAGGCGATATACAACAGGGCAGAGAGGAGAGCCCAGCTGCGTTTTTAGAAAGGATAATGGAGGCCTTCAGACAGTATACACCCATGGACCCTGAGGCTCCAGAGACCAAAGCAGCTGTGGTCATGACTTTTGTTAATCAAGCAGATCCAGACATTAAACGGAAGCTACAGAGAGTAGAAAGGATAGAAAAAAAAGAATATTCAGGATTTAATGGCAGTCGCTGAGAAAGTTTTTAACAATGGGAAGAGCCCAGAAGAAAAACAGCTTAAGGCTAGCAACTGGCATTGCCCTAGACATCAAAACCTGACACCCCCATAGCCAGGGGGAATACTGTGGCTGACAGGGTGGCAAAGCGGGCAGCCTTACCAACAACTTCCTCCACACTGGTCTTCAGTCTACCAGATTCTGGGAGCACTTGCTTGCCTGAGAAACCTAAGTGTACCCAGGAAGGTATAGATTGGATAGAAAACCTACCCACGGTCCAATGCATAAATGATTGGTATCGATTTTTGGACTGTAAGATTATTCTTCCAGAGAAATTGGGCAGTGCAATTCCTCATAAAATGCATAACACCACTCACATGGGCACCCAAAAAATTCAAGATTTGATGAGACATGCCCAAATTAAAATCAGGGATGCATGCTCAAAAATTGAATAAATTGTTGCCAATTCCAAGGCCTGCCAGCTGACCAATGCTTTTAAGAGCCCAGCCAATCCAGACTGCAAGGAGATAAGCCAGGGACATATTGGGAGGTAGACTTCTGAGGTCAAGCCTGGCAAATATGGATATAAATATTTAATAGTTTTTGTAGATACTTTCTCAGGATGGGTGGAGGCCTACCCCACTACACATGAGACAGCCCAGCTTGTGGCTAAGAAATTATTGGAAGACATCTTGCCAAGGTATGGATTTCCTGTACTGATAGGATCGGATAATGGGCCTGCATTTGTATCCAAGGTAATTCAATCCTTAACATCTGTTCTTGGGATAAACTGGAAATTACATTGTGCATTTAGACTCCAGAGCTCAGGACAGGTAGAAAGAAAGAATAGTACTCTAAAAGAGACCCTAATGAAATTAACCATAGAGACTGGCGGTAACTGGGTGTCCCTCCTTCCCTATGACCTTTCTAGGGTACACAATTCACCCTATATATTAGGATTAACCCCCTTTGAAATTATGTTTGGAAGACCATCCCCATGATCCCCAATTTATGAGTGGATGTAATAACTAGATTTGATGATCATAATTTCCTCTGCTCTCTCCAAGCTCTACAGTGGGCCCATGTCTAGCAGAGACTGAAGACTTTTTATGAGACTGGACCACCCCCCGAGCCTCACGGCTATTGACCGTTGGGTGTTCGCCTGCCGCCACAGACACAAAAACCTTGAACCTTGTTGGAAAGGGCCTTTTGTTGTCATCCTGACCACTTCCACCACTCTCAAAGTCGATGAAATTGCTACGTGGGTCCACAATACACACGTCCATCCCGCAGATCCCTTCCCTGCACAAGAAGACTAACTGCCAGAATGGAAGGCCGTCAAGGACAACAGCCCCCTCAAACTAAGATTTCAGTGCATCTAATCATATGCCTCACATTTGTTATGATTTCTGCTTGCAGGGGTTTGGGGTCCCCTGAGCCACTGAACCTTCATCAGACTTACAGGTGGGAATTGGTCCGGTGGGAAGATTGGACTAAAGTAGGAGAATTTGTGGGATCACTGGAAAGTGATACTCCTCATTTTGTAACCACCTTGTGTAAGCTTGTACCTCGCGAACCTTGCCTCAATTCCATCGGGTTTTATATGTGTCCTGCTGAGGGACCCAGTGATTGTAATTATACCAATCATTATTACTGTGCATACTGGGGATGTGAGACAGTGGCCAGTTCATGGGAACTAGACCCACAGGCCAAAGACAAAGATGTGAAAGTCGATTGGTGGCCCCCTAACTGCCGCCCATATAGAGGAATAGTTGCGGAAGCTGGGGGAAGTTTCTGTGAACAAATCAACATAAACATCACTGACCCAAAGGATCCTAAGTGGACTGTAGGAAAAGTATGGGGCCTCAGATACTATGAAGAGGGGCCCGACCAAGGCGGACTATTCACCATCCAGAGATTCCCAGTATTGGCCACCCCTACTTCAGCCTTGGGCCTAAACCAGACAATAGCACCTGGCCTAGATTTTAACACACTCTCCAACTCCTCAAGGCCAGATGGAGTTACTGACATGACTCCAATTTCCAAGCCCATGCCATCTGGCAATGCCCCCCAAAACTTTCTGTGAGAACTCATGCGGAGTACCTGGGCGGTTCTTAATGCTTCCCATCCAAACTTGACACAGTCATGCTGGTTGTGCTATGATGTTAGACCCCTCCCCCCCATTATGAGAGAATAGCAACACAAGAGAAATATAACAGTTCTTCTGATAGTAGTGCCTACAGCTGACAACAGAAAAACAATGTTAAACTTACCTTAAAATCTGTGGCCGGACAAGAATTATGCCTAGGTCAATTGTCCCAACCCCATGGCCAGCTTTGTAACGAAACAGGTGCCATTCTTTCTTTCTTTTTTTTTTTTTTTATTGTTGCTTACATTGTATTATGTAGTACAGTTTTATAGGCGCTGGGGATTCCCCCCAGGTGCCATTATTTCTGCTTTTAACTACTTGATTCCCCCTGAAAATGGGTAGTGGGCCTGCTCCTCTGGGCTTTCCCCATGTGTTCGTGGCCAAGTCCTGGCCAAGAACAAGGAATACTGTGTAGTAGTATAATCAGTAAGTCCCTAGGATATATTATCACCCAGACCAACAAATTTCTCAGAGACTAGATAGCTAAATGATAAGTAGCAAGAGAGCCCCTCACAGCCATCACATTTGCAGTTCTCCTAGGATTAGGCTTGACTGGGGCAGAAACTGGAGAGTCATCTTTGATCCTTCAGAACCAAACGTGTCATGGGTTACAACAGGCCATTGCTGTGGACATAGAAAGATGAGAGACCTCAACATCTCACCTACAGGAATCCTTAACATCCTTAGCAGAAGTTGTCCTTCAGAACCACAGAGGATTAGATCTTTATCTTCAACAAAGAGGATCGTATGCAGCACTCGGTGAAGAATGCTGTTTTTATATAGATCACTCAGGAGTATAAAAGAATCTATGGCCAAAGTTTGAAAAGGCCTCGCTAAGAGAAAGCGAGAACCATCAGAAGGATGGTTTGTATCTGGTTTAATACTTCCCCCTGGTTAACTATCCTGATTTCCACTCTATTAGTCTCTTGTTCATCTTGGTATTGTTGCTTACTTTTGGCCCCTGTATTCTCAATAGATTAGTCTCCTTCATCAGAGAACAGAGTACAACTGATGGTATGAATATCCCAATATTGCCCCCTACAAGAGGGAGCCATGACTGGATCCCCTAGTCACAAGAAAAGGGGAGAATGAAGAATCTTGGCATAAGTCTTGCAGTCTTGGATGGGGGCACCATTTTGTCAGTTGAAGTTTCATTTGTAAAACATCGCAAATAACCGGTCAGCAGATGATAGCCTATAAGAAAACAACAGGAAATTCCCCAAGTTCCCCTGCCTGAGATAAGGTCCACTTGCTTCAGACCCACCAATGAGTGAATGCCAACTTGTATTTTTTTAAATGTCAACCAATCACAAGTGAATACCTGCAATTCCCCTTGGACTATATGAGCTGTAATAACACTGTGCTGTTCGGCCTCAGGGCTCACAATCCTGAACCACTGTGTCGGTGACAACTGGTGCCCAGGCTTGAGCTTAAATAAACTGCCCTTGTGTGCTTGCACTGGACTCAGTCTCCTAGTAGTCTTTGGGAACTTTGAGATCTGGACGTAACAGTAACACCTTGATCAAGCAGCAATGAAATTTGACTCCATCGAAGTCGTTTGGGAAGTTTGCTCCAAGGACTTGGGCCTTATCTGCAATCTAAAGGAGAAATAGGAGATATACGGGGGGTGGGGGGGGGAGCATAGTCTCCAACAACAGCAGCAGGCAAGTATATGTCTAGTTTGGACACTTATGGAAAATTTAAACATAATGGGAAACCACTGACTTGAAACAGAAGGTAAAAAGGTCATGCAACATGGTTGTATAAACTATTTAGAGATAATTGTGGATTGTCTCAAAATATGTGCATGCTTTGATGCTGGTGGTAACTTCTTGAAGAACTATAGTGCAGTATCGCAATGGGAATATTGATGAGGATTCAGTATTTACCTTTACCATACCCTCTTCTGTTTCTCCCCCCACTTTCTCAACCCCTGACATCTGTTGTCTATTTCCATGTATTTTTGGTCCTTAAGAAGTTTGTTTCCTTCCCCCACTACTAGTGCTCTTAATTTTGATGAAGTTCAACTTAAGATTTTTTTTTCTCCCAGAACTGTGTTTTTCACATCAAGTCTCATCTCTGGGCCTTCGATTCTTAAGAATTTCTCTTTTGTGTTTTTTTCGAAGCTTTATAATCACACTTACTATACCCTCTTTTGATTAGTTTTTGAGATTTGGCCAATGGACATTCTTTTTCCTTTTGCCTACGGTCCAGTTACTTAAACATCATGATTAAATCTATTTCAGAGTATGTTTCTCTGAGCAAAGTAACTAAATAATGGATGCCTCCTTATTTTCATAAAACATTTATTTATATATAATTTCCATGACAGGAGCTGATGAGAAAGACATGAGTTAGAAGTTTGCTCTCTGGGTCAGTGTTGTGACACAGCACATTAAGCCTCTACCTGTGACACCAGCATTGCATAAGTGCATCAGTTAAGTCCTGGCTGCTCCACTTCCAATCCAGTTTCCTGCTAGTGCGCCTGGGAAAGCAGCTGAAGATGATCCAAGTGCTTGGGCCTCTGCACCCATGTGGGGGACCTGGAAGAATCTTCTGGCTGCTGTTTTTGGATTAGGTCCAGCTTTGGCCATAGCAGCCATTTGGGGAGTGAATTAGGAGACTGAAGTTCTTTATTCCTTTCAAATAATAATAAATCCTTTAAAAAGTTACATTAAGTTTCTCAGAGGTTTTTATTTGAAGAGGAGAGACAAAGAGAGGATCTTTCATTCACTGATTCACTCCCCAAATAGCCACGATGACCAGAGTTGAGCTGATTAGGAATCAGGAGCTTTTTCCAAATTTCCCACGTGGATGTAGGGGCCCAAGGACTTAAGCCATCCTCCCCTGCTTTCCCAGGTCATAAGCAGGGAACTGGATCAGGACTAGAGCAGCCGGTAGATGAACCTGCACCCATATGGGATGCCATCGCTAAAGGCAGATGATCGGCCAGATATACCACCACACTAGGCCCCAAGAAGTAATGAGGTTTGATCTGTAGTGCACTAAATTTTTAAAAAGGGAGCAGCGGGCCCGGCGCGGTGGCGCAAGTGGTTAAAGGTCCTCACCTCGCACGCCCGGGATCCCATATGGGCGCCGGTTCTATCCCGGCAGCCCCGCTTCCCTTCCAGCTCCCTGCCTGTGGCCTGGGAAAGCAGTCGAGGACGGCCCAAAGCTTTGGGAACCTGCACCCGCGTGGGAGACCCGGAAGAGGCTCCTGGCTTCAGATCGGCATAGTATCGGCCCGTTGCGCTCACTTGGGGAGTGAATCATCGGACGGAAGATCTTCCTCTCTGTCTCTCCTCTCTGTATATCCGCCTTTCCAATGAAAAAATAATAAAAAATAAATCTTTAAAAAAAAAAAAAAAAAAAGGGAGCAGCTGCTTACCTTCAGGGGCAACGGCTTTTTGGGTCATATCATAAGAACCAGAGCTTGACTCCATTTGCCAAGGCTCTCTCAAGACTTAAGTGGCTGGCTTACTTTGCAAGGTTTAACTGTATTTTTCAAATGATTAGCCAGTCAACAGTTCCGTTGAATAGTATACCTTTTCCTAACTTGAAAGACCACTGTATTATTCAATTTATTTGGATTTATTTTCCATTGTTTTCCCTGTTCACTTCTACACTGTTACATACATGTGTTTTTTTAATAAAGATTTATTTTTATTATTTTTTTATTGGAAAGGCAGATTATACAGAGAGGAGAGACAGAGAGGAAGATCTTCCGTCTGATGATTCACTCCCCAAGTGAGCGTGCAACGGCCGATGCTATGCTGATCCGAAGCCAGGAGCTTCTTCCGGGTCTCCCACGCGGGTGCAGGTTCATCTACCAGCTGCTCTAGTCCTGATCCAGCAATTTTAAGATGTATAGAACCCGGTTGTATGTAAACTAAAATTGAAATGTCAATAAAGTAGTCACAGGATGTGGTTAAGAACTTGTATTTTTTTGTTAACATATTGGTTACTCAATACTATGTAAATTAATTCCATAACATTATAAATTGTTGCTGATGTTATGTTGGGGCTTTTAATTAATCGGGATGATACTTGGCTGGCTCTACCTTCAGACCAGGGAAGGTCTCCTCAACAAGCCACTGAACTTATCTGGACAATAAGATGCTGGGCTCTATGCTTGGTATATGCTTGCAATGAAAGAATCTCAACTGAACTTGAACTGTGGCAATGCAGCAAGGTGGAGGAATCCACCATGGGGGGAGGGCTAGGGGAAGGGTGGGGAGAATCCTAGTACCTATAAAACTCTGTCATATATTACAATGTAATTCATAAAAAAAGAAAAAAATATATATATATACATAAAAACAGAAGCAGCAGCACAATCTGAGTGTGAATTATCATTTTTCTTGTTTGTTTCCATATAGACTTTAGAATCAAGTTTGTAAGCAAGCATAAAGTTTCTTAACTAGAAGACCAACTGGGACTGTGCATTTGGCCTAGTGGTTAAAATAGCGGACAAGGTACCTGTGTTACACATCAGTGACTGGGTTGGATACAGGCCCTGGCTCCTGACAGTGTGCTACTAATGCAGATCCCGAGAGGCAGCAGTGATGGCTCAAGTAACTGGGATCCCGCCATGCATGTAGGAGACTTGAATGTCCTAGCCTCCACTCTAATCCCAGCTCAGCCCTGGCCTCTGCAGGCATTTGGGGAGAAAATGAATGGGAGTTGTCTCTGTCTCTAAGCTGAACAGACATCCCAACAGCTTCCATCTCTGAATCAAAGATTTTAAATGAACTGGAGGGCCCCGTGTGGTGGCCCAGTGGCTAAATCCTTGCCTTGCATGTGCTGGGATCCCATATGGGCACCAGTTTGTGTCCCAGCTGCTCCACTGCAATCCAGTTCCCTGCTAGATGGCCCAATGCCTTGGGAGGACCCTGCTCCCATGTGGGAGACCCAGAAAAGGCTCCTGGCCTCAAATTGGTTCAGCTCCGGTGGTTGTAGCCACTTGAACCAGCGGATGCAAGATCTATCTCTGTTTCTCCTTCTCTCTGTAAATCTGCCTTTCCAATAAAAATAAATGGAAGGAAGGAAAGAAGCAAGGGAGGGAGGCAGAGAGAGAGAGAGACAAAGAGAAAAAAACTGGAAAAAGTAAGATCAATTTTTAGTTCTGCTGTGGCAGGGGTGTGGACTTGTTTACTGATGAAAACTGATTTGAAAAAGAGGAAACTGATGAAATCAAGAAGTACTGGATAAATGTTCAGTCGTGTTTCCTTCCGTTAATTTTCTGCAGGGCTTGTTTTCCCAACAATCTAAAATGTACATCCAGGGGCAGGTGTTTTGTTTAGCCGTCAGTAAGGATGCCAATGTTCCATATCTGAATAGTTGGGATTGAATCATGGCTCCACTTCCAATTCTACTTCCCTGCTTATGTACTCCCTGCCTGGGAGGCGGTGGGTGAGCTGGATTCCTGTGACTGACATGGAAAGACCTAGATTGAGTTCCTAACTTTGGTTCAGGTCAACATTGACCATTGCAGGCATTTGAGGAGTGAACCACCAGATGGAACTTCTGTGTATCTGTCCCTCAAGTTAATAAAATTGCCCATGTAATCATTCCCTCCCCAGTGGCTGCAACCAACTTTTAATAATGTCCCAATGCTTCTATAAAAATGTAAAATCTACACTGGCATATAAATTATCCTGTGTTTAATCATTTATAAGCTGGGCCTTGGCTAAAGTTCCCCGCCTTACATGTGTCGGGATCCCACATGGGCACCAGGTCATATCCTGCTGCTCCACTTCCCATCCAGCTCCCTGCTTGTGGCCTGGGAAAGCAGTACAGGACGGCCCAAAGCCTCGGGACCCTGCACCTGCGTGGGAGACCTGGAAGAAGCTCTCAGCTCTAACCACTGTGGCCACTTGGGGAGCGAACCAGTAGATGGAAGATCTTTCTGTATCTCCTTCTCTCTGTATATCTTACTTTCTGATAAAAATAAATAAATCTTTAAAAAAAATTATAAGCCAGCAACTTTAAAAAGCACCACAGTAAGTGTTTTTCTTTTTTTTTTTTTTAAGTGTTGTTATCGTTAACAAAACAGGATTGGTCTTCACACCAGTGGAAATTAAGGTGTAGCTGGAAAGGCAAACAAAATGAATAAAAATCTGACAATTCGATACAGGACAGGAAATAAAAGGCAGTGAATAGATGTCTCTGAGAATGAACCAGGAGGAAGGATAATGTAAGTAGAGACAATAACAAAAAAGCTAAAGGCCTAAAGAAATCAGAAGGAATGAGGAACTCAGGCACATACATGGTGACTGAGCTTTGGTTAGACGGACCCTTTAGTTTTATCTAGGCAGACTGGATGATATACTGCAGGCAGATTTATAGAGGGAGGTGAAAAATCCCATCTGACAGTTTGTCAAACACAAGAGCTAAGTGGTCTTCAGCTAGATGCAGAGGGGAGGGGACATAGTAACAGAAGTCATAGCTGTCTCCTATTTCT